TCTAATGTTCATTCTATGCATTTGCTAATTCTCTCACCATTTTTTTTCTACAATTATCGTATCATTTTTTCGATATCTATTCCTATTAATTTTTTTTCTCAGCGATGATTGGCTATTAATTAATTATTCCTCATTTTCTTCATTAAAGAAATTTCATAAAATTTAAATTACCTTGCATATATTGAAATATTTTAGAAGTTTCCGCCTAATTAAGCAAAAATAATTTTTTGAAAATAAATAATAATTACAGAGATCAGTATTCTCTGATAAAATGGAAGAAATATCAATCCATTCTATCCATCACATGCCTACGCATCCACTTACATATATATAAATATGATAAGATTATTTACAATGAAGTGGAATTTTTGTAGAAGTACATCACATGCACCTACACATCCATATGTATAATCACACACACCAACACATCCACTTATATATATATATATGATAAGATAATTTACAACAAAGTAGAATTTTTGTAGAAGTACATCACATGCACCTACACATCTACATGTATAATATATGTGATAAGGTAATTTACAACAAAGTAGAATTTTTGTGGGAGTACATCACACTCACCTACACACGTATAATATATATATGATAAGGTAATTTACAACAAAGTTGAGTTTTTGTGGGAGTACATCACACTCACCTATACATCTACATGTGTAATATATATATGATAAGATAATTTACAACAAAGTGGAATTTTTGTAGAAGTACATCACATGCACCTACACATCTATATGTATAATCACACACACCAACATATCCACTTATATATAAATATATATGATAAGGTAATTTACAACAAAGNATATATGATAAGATAATTTACAACAAAGTGGAATTTTTGTAGAAGTACATCACATGCACCTACACATCTATATGTATAATCACACACACCAACATATCCACTTATATATAAATATATATGATAAGGTAATTTACAACAAAGTAGAATTTTTGTAGAAGTCAAATGAATTTTTCGCTATCACAAAATTATGCTAATTATTTTTTTAAAGAAAATTTCTTCTTCTACAAAAAAAAGAATTTAATATTTGAAAAAGAGGAAGTAAATTATTGATGAAAGATAATAAATTAATTTTTTTTTGGGGAAAAATTTATTAAAATTTGAAATTTTAAAAGATTTTTTAAAAAAGGAAAAGAAAAAAAGTGCAAGCAAAATAGTAAAGAATAAATGATGGAGCAGAATATGAAAAAATAAAAGAGATTAGTTTTTGAGCGAATAATTTAGCATCAAATAATATCATTGAACATAAAACACACATCCATGTTTATGATGCCTAATAAATAAGCTTGGCTCGTTTTTTTCACCCTCTTTTTGGCCTCTTATAATTTGATAATTATAGTGAATAAACGAGAGAGAGAGAGAGAGAGAGAGAGGGAGAAAGAGAGGTAAAGAAAGGGAGATAAGAGTAAGAACAAAATAATACACACATAAGTTAAATATAAACTAAATTTTATGAAAATTCATTCTGTTTTTCTGCATCATTGCTAATTTTCTTCATTCTCTCTTTTTTCCTTATTTCATAGTCTTTCAATTTTCTTTTCATCTCAGACCTAAAATTTTGTCTTTTAAACAAAAGAAAAGCAAAATCGCTTCTCTCTTTCTTTTGACCCTATAACCTTCACCTTTTTTGACCTTAAAACCTTAATTTTTTTTGACCTTATAATCATCTTTTTTGACCATATAACCTTCATCTTTTTTGACCTTATAGTCTGATCTTTTTGACCTTATAACCTTTATCCTTTTTGACCTAATAACCTTCATCTTTCTTGACCTTATAACCTTCATCTTTTTTGACCTTATAATCTTTACCTTTTTCGACCTTATAACCTTCATTTATAATGCTTATTTAAATCAAAGTAAGTATGAAATGAAGTAAGTATGAAAGTAAGTATGAAATCAAAGTAAGTATGAAATTTTTAAATCAAAGTAAGTATAAGTATGAAAATCAAAGTAAGTATGAAAATACAATTATGTTTAATTGATAATGTAATTAAGCTTAACTGTATCATTTCGAAATTTCATAATTCCATAAATTTAAATATTAAAAAAAATTTTTGGACTAATAATATTTACAAATCATTTGCTATTGGATGATATGTTTCCACATTACAAAAGTAATAATTACAGCTCTTTTCTGCAATTCTGAAATATCTGATTTTTGTCAAATTATCAGTGAAACATTTGATCGCTGATAGTTCAGATATATCATTAAAAATTAGCACATATGCTTAACTAAATAATTAATATAAATGATTTAGAAATTTTGAAGTACTTCAAAGATTTTGCAAAATAGTAATTACCTGTAAACTATTCCGAATTTGATATATTAACAAATTATTGAAAAGATAATTAATATCTAACAACTAAAATATATCTTGATAAAATTGTCTTGTTGATTGATGCATTTCTTATCATTGAAAATTATTTGATAAATATGAGTGATAATAAATATTATGACCTGACCTGTCATGTTACCAATATTGCTATGTCAACCTTATTGATGACTGATAATTTAGTTTAATAATCAAAAATGTGTCAAAAGTTTTCAAAAACAATTTTTAAGCCATAAACTAATCAAAAATTAATAAATCATTTCTTGTTGAAATATTCAAATTTATCATTTCCATCCACTTCTACTATTCTCAACATTCTCATTTTAACTTATCTTTCTTTTTCACAAGGGATTAAATTTGTTTACTTTTCCTATTTTAAATTTTATCATTAGTGAAAATGAACCCATTTACATAGAAGTTTCGTTTTTCAATGTATACTTAATCTCTAAGATATTTCATTCAAATTAAAATTTATAATGAATTTTAATTTTATATTGTATAAAATTAAAAGGAGAAACTATTGAGGTAAGCGAAATATCATATTTTATTTATTTATTTGTTTATTTATTTGTTTAATTAGTTCGACCCTCTTTATTCTTTTTCTAAAAAAACGATGAATATTTTTAAAATGCTTTTTATGAAGTCTGAAATTCATCCATAGCATCTGTTATTAGTGTGATTATATAAAAACGAAAAATCATTGATTGATTATCATTAAAAATTTGCTATCAGATAATTGATTAATTAATGATACATTTTCAGCGATGAAATAATATATGATAAATAAATAAATACTTAATAAATAAATCTTAATAAATAAACTGATTGATTATCATTAAAAACTTGCTATCAGATAATTAATTGATTAATGATACATTTTCAGCGATGAAATGATATATGGTGAATCGAATCTTAATAAATTAATAAATACTTTTGTTAAAATATAAAAAATGAATGACATGGAAGTGTATATACTATTTTATGCATAACAATGGGTAAATAATTTAAATTTTCCAATAAAATTATTGAAATACATTTCAATAAGTTTGTTAAAGTGACCAATGACCATGCCATTGGTCACTTTAACAAATTTATATATTATCACTGACATTTCTCACAATTTTTTCGTATAATCTTCATTTAACCATATTTTTTTTGCAATAGTTTTTCCTCATTAATTCATAGAATATCATCAGTTTTTCTGATAAAAGATACTGACAAATTGATAAGATTACAGATTAATACCGTTTGATATCAATTATTCAACTATACTTTGTATTAATTTGAGTTTCAAATTTTTTATAGTTTAGAAATTTGCCCGGACGCTTATTTATTTACTATAATATTTAGGAAAATATTATCTTGATCGTAAATGGATACGCTAATTAATTTTNAAAGATACTGACAAATTGATAAGATTACAGATTAATACCGTTTGATATCAATTATTCAACTATACTTTGTATTAATTTGAGTTTCAAATTTTTTATAGTTTAGAAATTTGCCCGGACGCTTATTTATTTACTATAATATTTAGGAAAATATTATCTTGATCGTAAATGGATACGCTAATTAATTTTTATCTAATTTCTCAAATTAAGGCATAATTTTTAATTTTAAAATTTATTTCATTAAATTCACATTTTGTCATCAATTCTATTTATACATTATTAAAGAACAAAAATGTTAATTTTTTAAAAATTTCCTAATACTATTTTTAAAAGTAGCCTAAATTTAACAGTTCAATTGTTAAACTCATTTTTGGTTATCAGAAATACCAAAAGTTAGAATTGTATTTTCATTAGTGCACAGAATCATAGAACAAAATCTGTACATTTTAATGGCAAATTAATTAATTAAATAGTTTAAAAGCAAAAACATGCCTATGATAATGATATGATTGCTATAGTTCTGAAAAGAAAAATTTCTTTTTTCAGAAATAAACAAATTACGAATAGTTGAAATTGCATGATTGTCGTTGTTTGAGTAGAAATAATTTAATTCTTTCGTAATTCATATCATATCATCTATCAGTACTCATTCCTTTACATCTTTATTAAAAAATATTTAAATGAAATTTCATTGAAGTACATCTAAGTTATAGTAATTCATATCATATCATCTATCACTTCTCTATATCTTTGTTAGAAAATGCTTAAATGAAATTTCATGTTAATACAATTAAGTTATCGTAATTCATATCATATCATCTATCAATGTTCACTTCTCTATATCTTTGTTAAAAAATATTTAAATGAAATTTCATGTTAATACAATTAAGTTATAGTAATTCATATCATATCATCTATCAATGTTCACTTCTTCATAACTTTGTCTAAAAGTATTTAAATGAAATCTCATGGAACTAGAATTAAATTATAATTGAAAATAAATGAAATGAGTAAATTAGGAAAACAAATTATGTGATATGTAAGTAATATTGTTAATTATATTTTAATGTCAAAAACACATATAATAATTTCATCGCTTAAGTAATGCTAAAAAAAGTTTTTCCCATTTTCGTCGTTAATTTAAACTTTTAATAAAAATTAAAATTTTCAGTAATGTTTCAATTGGCAATCAATAACAACCATTTATGGTTACTATCGTTTATAATCTGAGGAAAAATGTTGATACCAGTGGTATTGTCAATAATAAGTTTTATAATATCATTACTTGGATTAATATTATTGGGTATCGGATATGGTTTAAATTATTCAACAATAATGCTTCTAAGTTTTGGTTCGATTGGTTTAATCATTTCAATAATTTTTTGGATAGTACGGCCTAAATCATTAATGACATGGCCAAAATGTTTGAAACGTTTATTTGGTCGACGACAAAAACACTTTAGCAAATACAAAAAGGCGGAAATATTAGATCGTGATAAAGCTGAAATGATTATGAAAAATATTCTTGGTATTCCATATCTTATTCAGGTAATTTTACATATACCTTTATCAATTCTAATCAATGACAATGTATATAATGATAATATCTTATCATATTGGGATATGATTATTACATGGAATAATTAGAAATTCGAAATTTTAATTACTAAGTTTGAAGTATTTCTTATTATCAATGATAACCTGTTATTTTGTAATTTCAGGCTATTCAATATAGTATGGAAGCAACATATTATAGAGCAATGATGGCGGAAAAAAATAATTGTAGCATACCATCAACTTCTGTGATACATTCTGCTCCCAAATGTACCAGTGTTATTGATTCCGATAACGAAGACTGCTGTTCCGGTTATTCATTCATATTTAATTCAGTTCTAATCATGAAATGCTATTTTGATAATTTCATACAAATCATTGGTTAATAATTTACTTTTGTCTTTTCCGGAATGAATAATAGGAAAGGATAAATGAATATATTAATTATTCATTTCAGTGTGTTGCACCTATTTCAATTAACAGTAATTTATGACTTAAATTATCTTTATTCTTCTTCATTTTTGCATCCTTTCTTTTTTATCATTCTTTCATTTTCTTTTTGTTTTATTTTATCATTTTTATCACTTAATTAGAATCGATTAAATTAAAACCATATTTCAAAAAATACGTTGAAAATTATCATTTTATATTCTAAATAATATTTCTGCTCCACTTTTTTCCAAATTTCGTTTTTTGATATCAAAAGTTTTTTATCGTTTTTTGTTTTTTGTTTCAAAGGTTCTATCATATAATAAATATCATAGGTTAAATAATTATACCGTGTGCTAAAGGTACGAACAGAATTGTTTCTAATTAATAAATTCCTCATTGATAAATGAAATTTTAAAATTCTTCCGATATCTGATTCAAATATATTCTCTAATATCGATTAGATTCAATAAATAATAATGGATGATTTGTTTGATTTTTAAGATTTATGTGAAGTAACTCAAACGGCGATTACAAAAGAGCAATTAGCAGCAACTCGTACAACTGAAACATTCGAAGAATGGATCCCAACCGGATTATCATCCTGGAATAATACCCAATTAAGGCTTTCGATAAGAAGCAGTCCTGAAATTGGAATCAATGTCAGTTTCTCATCCTTCTTTTGCTTAAATCTCGATTGCACATATGAAAGTAATGTAATATCTTCTATATATTGATATAGATTTATTGATATTTCATAATATATATTGAAGAAATTTTTTTTAATCTCAAACAAATTTCTCTGAGATTTCCCGAAATTATAGCCATAACCTGATTTACCTAAAATTATTGCTTATCCATTTTTAGGTATTTCCATACAGTGAAATAATGCCACGAACAAGTGATGGTGTAGTCTTGGAGTTTGTTGAAACACTTAAAGAAATTACACCGGAAAATGAGGAAAAAAGGATTTTCCTAAAGAGGTTAGCTTATTGGAATGATATATAATCTTCTAGCGATCGTTTTCGAAAGTTATAAAAGATTTTTCACTTGACCCCTATTTTAGTTGCTATTTAAATTAAATTACCGAAATGGCCTATTAAATCCTGAAAAGGTAAAATTAAGAGAAATAATTAAATTCAGTTTTTCTGAAAGTAAAATAATCTTTAAATATATAAGAAGAAATTTTCTATTAGCAAATTGCATTTCATAACAGCTATACTTTTCGAACTATTTCAAATTATTTCAAATTTGACAGTAATTAATGAAAAATAAATAATGAAAGAAAATGATGTCACTCATAAGTAACTATCTATATTTATGCTTGAATTAAAATTAAAATAATTAATTGCTTAAGTTATTTGGGCACTGAAATGAAAAATTATAATGTTTAATATAATATAAATCTATTTATAATTTTGACAATTGGGGAATAGATGAAATATCGATTGAATTATTTCAGTATCATACAGTATGCCAAATACAGTATAATACTTTCACATTTCATATTTTTAGGTCTAATTTGAAACGAAATTTTCATTTACGTTGTATCGCAATGAGCAGTGGTTTTTTGAATAAATTTAATGAAACTTTTCGATCGTTTCCACATTGATTGCACGTTTTATTGTACTTTATTATTAAATTAATTATGTCACTTTGATGATCTTCCATTTTTCATTGTTTGATGATAAAATAATATCAAACCATAATACATTTTTTTACCACAGTATGTTGGCCTATCTAAGTGGAAAGGCAAAAACTTGACTCATTTTAAAAAATGTTTCATAATTATATCTCTCAGTAAAACCGATAATTACTTTCAGTTTTATTGATAATGATAATGATATATGTGATATGTGATAATGATGTATGTGATATATAATGATATATGCGATATTTGATAAAATGAGCTTATTAGTCAAAAAACAATCAATTAAATAATTATAAAATGAAATAAGTTTAGATATCTCCTATAAGTTGTAAATTTTGTTGAATTTTTTGATTTAATTCCTTTGGATAAATGATATCATCACTTTTTTCTTCTCAAATAAATTGTCAAATTAGATAATATGACTCATTTCAATTTAAATTTTTAAAATGATTTGTTTCAATTTTACAATATTTCAATCATTCCTTACTTAAAAGATAATTTAGGAGAGAGAAAAGATAAAATGAAAAATGTTCTCACATCTTCCAATAACTATTTAATTCTTATTTTTACATATATTTTTCCTTTTAAATTTTTTATTGAAAACTATCAATTGTTATTTTTCTTTAATATTATCATTTGATAAGTGATAATGTTATCATGTATAAGTGTATATGTGTTTTGTTGTTAAAATTAAGAAATAATTATCATTTATGATAAAAAATTATAATAATATTTGATCGTATTAAGATATTAATTCATATGAATTAACAAAAACTATTCTCTGTCATAATTGCTATCATAAATTTGCAATCATAATCAAGCGATATTATGATACTATTTGTTTTAACAAAAAAAATTAATAGTTAATAACTAATTAATTAATTTACACTTAAATTTTTTTTTTACCTTATTAATGAATCAAATTTTTTGCTTAACAGTATAAATCGGTGATGATAATTTTTATCATCCAATTGATAAATTTTCATATTTAATAATTTTTTGATATTACCGAATTGTTTTTATTTTTAATTAAGAAGAGAGGGAAAAATAATGGATGGTAAAAAAATTTCAAATTCATGCAATCCAATTTCGGAATATAAAATTTACATTGAATTATTAATAATTATTAAATTTACATTAATTAATGATAATTTGATGATTGAATAAAATTCAATTATCAAATTATTATCAATTACATGGAAGCATATTAATTGTACAACATTTGCAACATTTAAAAGAAACCAATATATATTTTGTAATAGTTAAATTTGAAAGTTATAAAAAAGGATAATGAATGTGCTAATGAAATTGCTTAAAAAAATGATCGTTAGAAAATAAATCAAAATATCAAAAATGATAAATATTTATGGCTGATAAAATTGATAAAGTGATATTTCTACATTTTTATTCTTTTCCCACTGATAATTCATCTAATTTTACTATGTATCACTTTATTTAATTTAATTCAACGAATTGCATTTAATTCAATTAATTATTTCCACCTACAGAATATCAAAGAAGTTTTTGGCTTAGTTTTAAATTTTTTAATATCACTGTTTTGTGAATTAATTCTCAGTATGCTCAATTTGTTTGAAGAAAAATTTGAAATATCCTGCCTTCTTCTTTTTCCCACAGTAATTTCAACGATATTAATTTGCGGTTGTTTCGACATTGTCGTTTTTTTTACAACGTTCAAAGTTTTTTCCCTTCTTTTTATTGCCAGTTTAAAAATACTGTAGTTATAAGGGAAAAAATGAACAACATAGAGTTAAATTTGTTGGTATAAATAAAAATTAAGGCATTAATTTTATTCAAAATGTAATTTGATAATTTAAATTGATAATTATTCAATTAAAATTTCATTTCTTTGTTTTAAATGTTATATGATAATTTAAATTGATAATTATTTAAGTAAAATTTCATTTCTTTATTTTAAATGTGATTTGATAATTTAAATTGGTAATTATTCAATTGAAATTTCATTTCTTTGTTTTAAATCTTATTTAATAATTTAAATCGATAATTATTCAATTAGAATTTCATTTCTTTATTTTCAAATGTAATTTAATAATTTAAATTGGTATTCAATTAAAATTTCATTTCTTTGTTTTAAATGTAATTTGATAATTTAAATTATTATTTTTTACATTGCAGTATATTATGATTAAGCAAAAAAAATTTTTTCAACAGCAAAAAGTTTTATTTATTTAATTAAATAGTAAATGCGACGAAGAGAAGAAGCATAAATATAATTCTAATCTTTTTTTCGAACTTTAGCAGATGGCAATGATGTAAAAAGAGATATGGCAGTTTACAAAAAAGAAGGAAAATCGGCTGGCAGCTTGAAAATAAATAAATAAATAAAAGTTTAGAATAAAGCATAATTTTTTTCCATTGAAAATTTTACATGATAATAAAAAATGAAATTAACAATTAATTTTGTATAAATAATTCGTTTAAAAAAATATGCATAAAATAGCTTATTTAGGATGGAAAAATTTTTGTTGAAATTAATCGTAAACTTTTGATCATTCCTAAAATTAAAATAAAAAGTATTTTAATTATTGATATAGTAAAGTTTCTAAAATCATTGATAAAATCAATGATAAATAATATAAGGGTAAAGAAGAATGGTAAAAAATATATAGGTAAAGAAGAATGAAATCAAAGAATGTAAAAGGTGAAATTGAAAAAGTGAAAAATGTTTGGCTAGCATGCAACACTAATTAATTGAGCTATAATGTGATAAATAAAATAATTGAAATATAAACAAAGATAATAATTAATGCTAATGCATAATTTAAGACGAAAACTTCTAACTTCTTCTAATTGAAAAATTTACACTTCTAATTTCTACATTCTGCTGGCAGTAAACAATTCATCTCTTCATGTGCATCACCGATACATGTGCAATCAGCTTCACCGAGACAACTCCTAAAATTCGAATTTACAGAATTCTTTTAAAACAACAAAAATTTTGTCTCACAATTTATTAAAATTTGATAGGAACAAATTTATGATTTAATGCTATAAATTATTTTTTTTCAATAATGCATAACTATTCCGGTTATTTCATAAAATATATGAAACATGAAAAGGTATAAATTTGATACGGATGAGAAATTTACCTGTATCGACGTCTAACATGGTGATAACATGATTTTTCGCATGTTGACCATTGGTACCATTCAGCCCAATGACATTTGATCTCGATTAAGACATTTGGTGAGATAGCGTAACTGGGAAATATACGAAGGTACTCAGGAGCACTTGATAGAGGAGCATAACCGGGAGCACTTGGTAGAGGAGCATAACCGGGAGCACTTGGTGGTAAAACGTAACCAGGAGCACTTGGTTGAAGAATATAACCAGGAGCACTTGCTGGAAGAATATAGCCAGGAACACTTGATGGAGGAATATAACCAGGAACACTTGATGGTGGAATATAGCCAGGAACACTTGATGGAGGAATATAGCCAGGAACACTTGATGGAGGAATATAGTCAGGAGTACTTGGTGAAACACCATAATCTGATGTACCAGGTACCAAAGTATAACCAGAAGGACTTACTGCAGGAGCGTAACCAGGAGTAACAGATGAAGGAACATAACCAGATGTATAGGGTGTAGGTGCAACAGATGTAGGAACGTAATCGGTTACAGATACACCAGGTGTAGGAATGTAGCCAGTAGTTACATTAGGTGCAAGAACATAACCAGGTGGACAAATTCCACCTGGACTAGGTGTAACAGCAATAGCAGATAAATTTGGTGCATAATATAGTCCGGTTACAGGAAAACATATTGATGGATAAGTAACTGTTGCACAGGGCATATGTTCACTACAACTCTTATCCTCACGTGAATCACCATAACATTTGCCAGCACAACTGGAATCATCATGCTCTGCAATAATAATTAAACAATTAATCGAATCGATATTTAGTATCATCATAAAATCTACAATCATTGTAATCATAATTCATTGATTACAGTACGCTTGGTAGATATATTGTGTGATCAATTGATTGATAGCTCGGTTACAACATTTCAGAACAACGAATACATACCATAGCCAAGTCTTAGGCACATTTTTGTTCGTGAACTACGGCCAGTACCACATCGATGACTACATGGTGTCCAACTTGTCCAAGAGGTCCATTCACAACACAATCGTTCTAAACATACCGCACTTTCCTTAAAATTTCAAATATACAGCAATAAATCAAAAAAAGGCACAAAAAAGAAAACGAAGAAAAATATTAGTAGCAAAGAGAAGATACCTCTATATGTTGTAGTTAATTATCGCTAAACTAACTTTGATATTTACCTGTTTATCTTCATAACAAATAGATAAATGAAACAATCTAATAAGCATACTTAATTAAACATCCAATAAGCATACCTAATTACCATCCTGAATTTCTAAGGACTTAAAATTCAGTTAATTATTCGTGCTCAAATTAATCTAAAGCTACTGATTAAAGTTAGATAATATTTTATCTTGCATACATTCATTTATTTTATGGGTTGCCAAGAAATAAATGAACTGTCAGAAATTTGGAAGAATTAGTTTAATTCAAAATGAAAATATAGGAAATATAAAGTGCTGAAAAAGTTGGTTAAAATTCTAATTAATCATTAATAATTATATAAGTGATTTTTTTATAGGAAAAATCAACCATACCAACTAAAAATTAAGTCGTATAAATATCGAAAGATCTACTAATTAATACTTAGAAACTAATTAATACTTAAAGGCCTCAAGCTACTATCTTTAAGTATTAGAAATTGGTCTTTATCTAACATCCAAAAGTAAACAATATATTGGTAATTATATAATAATCTATGTGAATGCATTGTTACTTCAAAAGTTACATGATACTTTCAATTTTAATTATAACTCGAAGAAATAAAATCAATTTCTTACCGTTTTTTTACCTTCACAACTATCAGCTGATCTATCGTCAGATAAACATTCTCGATGTCTTACTCGTTCACCAATTCCACAATCATGGCTACATCTTGACCATCCTGTCCATTTTGTCCATTGCGGACAACTTACGCCAGTTTCGCAGTACTGTACATCCTACAATACAATAATTTATCACATTTACTGCTTAGCATTAGCAAACCTATCAGTGCTTATCACTGATTTGACAGGATTTTTTCCATCTAAGAAATTCGTTTCTATCCCGTTGTCTTTTACAACTTCTAGCTTTTATCACTCCCTAATTTTAATTGATTATCGTATTTCATTTATTGAATCGAATTCGTAAAAAATGAATATCAGAAATGATATGAGAAAAAAAGGAAAACCTCAGCATTTCCTATGCAATTGTCACCAATACAGGTACGATACCGTTGTTGCCTTCCGCTACCACATGTTACCGAGCATTCGGACCATTCTTCCCATGTTGACCACATTGCGCATTGACCAGCATGACAGGACATTACTTCCATTCGTTTTCCTAAGTAACAATTTAATTTCATCAATAGTTTAGTTTAAATTTGAATGAGTTTAATTTACTTTAAATATTTAATTCAGCATAGCTAACAGTATCATTTCTAAGTATAATTTATCGGTAGAAAAGCTAGCTAGTTATTTTTCCTTCTTATTACTACATTCAATAATATAAATTAACAAAGTTACCGGGACAGAAAATTCCATCACATAAACGCCTTCGTGTTGATATGCCATAATTACACTCTGCCGAACACGTCGACCATTCACCCCAATTCTGCCACGTTGAACACGCTTGTTCTACGCATACATTTTGCTCAATACTTTCGCCTTAAAAAAATTTCTCTTTACTACTTTTATCACAATTAAATCGTTTACGAAGCAAAATACAACGATATGCTCGGGAAAAATTTTAAGGGAATCAATTCATTTTGCTAAATAACTGATTTTTTTAATTAGTTAAAAAAAAGGATTATCAAATTATGTGCTTCATATCTGTGATAAACTGACAAGTTTTGTTTACTCCTACACTCATTAGAAAATTAATCACCGATACAATTCCATCCCAAGCAAACACGTTCTCTTGTGACAATTCCTTCTCCGCATGATACTGAACAAGCTGACCATTCTTGCCATTCTGACCATTCCTCACATTTATCACGATAACATTGAACTTCTTGATAAGCATATCCTATAAGCTGAATTGTTTGAATTAATTTCTTGAGTTCACTACACTAATCAATCTCACATGAAAAATTATTTATGATACCTTATCATACAGTAAGAATAATAAACACAAATTTCAAGGAATTTTAATTGAAAAACCCAAATGATGCTAATTAATACATACCGATTAATTAAAAGTTGTCAATTTAAATCATATCCTTTACTGAATATAAAAACAAATTATTTCATTAATTATATCGGTTAGAAGGATTGGAATTCTTTCAAGAAAACCAAAATCTATTACCAATCTAGTCGAAATTGAAATTGTGAAATTACCAAAGAGGGACATTTTACCGAATGATACATATTATAAAATTAATTTGCTTCCGAACCAATGCAATTATCGCCATGACAAGTACGTGCGCGCTTTTTAGTGCCAGTACCACATGTTACTGAACAATGTGACCATGATTCCCATTCACTCCATTGTGAGCATGGTACCGTTTCACATTGTGTTATCTGTAAAATGATGATCATATTGTTGAATAACGCAGTATTATTGTATGCTATGGAATAATAGAAATGCGTGTAATGTTTTGGTACCATGCGTGTTAAAATATTTAATATAATATTAAAATATAATATAATATTACAATATTCAGATATAAGAAATTTTTTTAGCATAATAATGATACTCTAAATTAATATAAAATATAGCGAAATCTTGGTGGTACTTTTGTAATTATTAGGATTCATCATAATCGTAATTTACTTATTAAATATTGATTATGTAAATCGATATTGATTGAATGATACAATGGATAAACATTTATGAAATAAAAACTTATCAAAAAAATTATGGAAAATAAATGATCTAGGATATCTGAGAGATAGAAATAGCTATCTTTTTTTGCATTATTGTAATAAAAATTTTAATTTCTTATAAATTAATCTATTCTTTTAATATTTTCATTAATTTAAACAATAAGTTTATGTTAAATTTTCTGAACTTTAGGAATAAAAATAATAACAATCATGAGATAACATATTTGAATAAATTGAAATGTAATATATTATTATACCTCATGATCCGGACCAGTACAATAACCCACACCAAGATAACAGTAGCGTGATCGTGTTCTCTCACCTATTCCACATGTTGCTGAAAGTAATTGATAATATCATTTTTATCATTATAGTCAAATTTCTTTTTTCTTCTCTATATGAAAGGGAAAAGATTACATGAATGATATTATTGATAAATATTTATTTCATTGTTAATGTATCAAAAGAGCACTTACCGCTGCAACTACTCCATGAAGTCCAACCAGCCCAGCTTGCTACGCAGGGGATAACTTGATGACATGTGCGCCATTCAACATTTTCACCTATGCATTGTTCTGTATTACAAATACGATATCTCTGTATCATACCAACTCCACATGTTGCAGAACAAGATGACCATTCTGACCAGCTTGACCACACTGTAAATTCAGTAATTTAGTTACATACTATAAATATATGTAAGTTATAGATTACTATAAATAAGCTCTAATGTACCGCTTATTGGTGCTTGAGGTGGTGCTTGAATTGGCGCCTGAGGTTGCGGTTGAGGATAAACTGGTGCTTGACCACTGATTGGTACCTGAGACGGTGGTTGACCATAAACTGGTGGTTGAGGTGTTACTTGACCATCGGTTGGTACCTGAGGTTGTGGTTGACCATAAACTGGTGGTTGGAGCGGTATTTGACCACCGATTGGTACCTGAGGTTGCGGTTGACCATAAGCTGGTAGTTGGGGCTGCAATTGGCCATAAACAGTTGGTTGGAGTGGTACTTGACCATCGATTGGCACCTGAAGTTGCGGTTGACCATAAACTGGTGGTTGGAGTTGAGCTTGACCATAAACTGTTGGTTGGAGTGGTACTTGACCATAAACTAGTGTTTGGGGTTGCGCTTGACCATAAACTTGTGGTTGAAGTTTTGGCTGAGTAGAAGTTGGACATACTGTTGGACATCGATCGCTGATTCCAAATTGTCGTTGAATCTAAAAAAAGAAATCATTCGGTTGATAAACATGCTTAGCGTTTTGAGTAGTAATATTTCACTTGATAGTTCACCTACATACCTTATTGCAGGTTTGAAGATAATAATTATAGAAATGATAAAGCCTAATCAATGGGAAAATCAAAGAGGAATCAATTAATAACTGATCTCTTTCCCCGAAGAATCAATTCAAGTAATATTCACTCTAGAGAAAGCTTTCGATGTTAACAATATCATCAAGTTTTATGCATAACGTTTAAGGTTGATTTAGGCACGGAATTGTCATCTATTATGAATTGTTCAGTTTCTGTTTCGACTGATCACATACACTTTTTGAGAATAGAATATGTGATACAATCTGATATCTATCGAATATTAAAGGGGATAAATTGAAGAATTCATTTCGAAGTAATTTTTTGCAATCAAACCTGTATTTTTTGATCGCTGGTCATATTTATGAATTTTTGACGAAAATATTCTTGCCAATAGCAACATGAATCTATCATTTGTTTACTGTGTATGCTCATTATTCTCTTATATTCATCACTGGAATGCAAATATTTGACTTTTTTCACTTCTAAGAAATGCATCATAATCCGATACAGTATTCTAAATAGAAAATAAAATGATGGTTATCTATGAAAACACGAAAAAAAATACTTACGAACTGACATCAGGATGCTGATATGGATACGGTGGATATGATATAGTGATATCGACAGTGGGAGCATAACTGGTAATTTTAACACCGTAACCTAATGCATGATGATAAGTACTACTGGTGGAGGAGCATCGTCTACGCTGAATGTTACGACCATATTCGCAAGGTTGTGATCGAACTTGCCTACCTAAAAAAGGTACACAATTCTTCCATTTGTTATATATATTAAATCTATTCCTCTGGTAAATCTCTGATAATTTCTGTTATGATAAACTTTTTATTTCATATCAAACTTGCTTAATTCTTTGAAAATACATGAAATAACATTTGATGCTTTGATAGAATATTATTTATGGTGGTTTACCTGATCGTCTCGAACATTCGGACCATGTTGACCAAGGACCGGTAGCTTCAATTGGCCTATCATAGCCAACATCTGAATAAAAAATATATTTAGATCTATAAAATTTTTTTGAAAATATATGACAATTCAATGTAGTATTTTCTGTATTATCCTATGAGATATATCAAATGAACGGATAAGTTGGATAGTGTTATAATTCCACGTAACACATGAGAAATAACCATATCGAAATGTTTTCCGTAATTTCATCCCCTAAATTATACAATATTCTTAATTAATTTAACCGATTACCGCGTTTCTTCTTTGATACTGAATCGGTAGAAGCTGTGAAATTGTTGAAAAGCGGTGGGAAAGGATCAAATTGATGACAATCAGCAACAATTTCCAATGATCGTATCATATCCAATTTTTTCATCGGTTTCTCTGCTACTAAAGCAACCTAAAGAGCCTTTTCAAGATATACATAAGAAATTTCAAATAGAAAAAATTTGCTCTTTACACTGTTCCAACTTAATTTAAATTCAACATCCACTAAACATTCCATTTTGATAATCTTTATCAATTAATTGATGATCTTTATCAATTAATTGATAATCTTTATCAATTATAGAATAATACAAATACATAAAATTTTAAAGATAAATTAATTGAAAGATAAATTCTGTAATTTAATTGAAAAATAATTTGTAATAGCATTCAAATAAAATTTTGAAATCGGTCATCTCTCTCCCTCTCTCTCTCTCTCTTTCAAAAATCAATTATTAATAAATGTTCTTTTTTTAATTTGTTGCAAAATTTTAATGTCTTATCAGTAATCACTCATTTATCAATCACAGGAAAAAGTATACTTACATCATGATCAATGCTATTTTTGCTGAATAAATAACAAATATGATCTTTGTCCCGTTCGTGCAAATAATAAAACATCACTGTAAAATTAGTTTGGATTAATTCAATTACAAAATTTAAATACGATTAATATATTACTAAAACAAACATAATTAAAATTTATAATTATAAATTATAAATTAAAATTTATTCTATAATCTTTGTAAGTGAAATTTGGAAACTCTTCTGAAATATATAATTAAAATTTGAAAACTATTCTTAAAAAGTAAAATTAACAAAATTTACAGAATTGTTTTCTTCAATAAGATAAGAAATTATTGTTTTAATTAATATTTTATTAGCGATTTTCATTAATTTTTACATCACTAATAATTCTATTTAATTTATCACCCACTTATCAAATTTATCAATTAACTCATTCATTATTATTATTTTTTTAGCCAAAAATTTAATTAATGCATCGTAATTACCAGTACTATACTAATAGTTATATCAATTGCTTTGCATATTAATGTTAAAACGAAATTTCAAATTTTAATTAATTTCCGCAAATTACGACGAATTATTTTTCAACATACCTGCGACACATTGCGGATACAAATCAATACAATTTCGGCGACATTCACTTGCTGAATAAAGTAAAAGTCGTGTAAATGGTTGAACACCCATAAACGCCGTATTATTATGCATTCGAAGACAAAGTGATTCAATCTAAATAAGATAAGTCAGGTAAAGGTGAAATTGACAAATTAAAAAAAGAAAAACAGTTTTCCGAATTTCTAATCAATTATGATAGCCGGATCGAAAATTGAGAAAAGAAAAAGAAAATAAAAGCTACTCGTTTGTTGTAAATATTTTCATAGACGATGCAATTAATTTCTCATAGTTAAAATAAATTAGCTTTTAAAACAATGATATATTAAGGGAAATTTTTGACATTTAAAATTCTCGTAAAAAATTTTAAAGATGAAATAATTTATTTTCGATATATATTGCATAAATTAGTTTACAAAATATTTAATATGAAAAAAAAGTAACGTTGAAAAAAATTATTTTATTTTAATTAAAAAATATATCGAAGGGAAAAATGAAATATTTTATTTTATATGATATGAAAATAAAGATATGTTTATATTTTTGCAGAACTGAAAAATCTTTTATTTACCCTTTGAAATCTTATTTACTCTATATGCTAATTTTTTTCTTATTTATTTACTCTATAAGTTAATTAATGAGTTATACCAGTTTTATATTCTATAAGTTAATTTCTAAGTTATAACAGCTTTTTACTGTATAAGTTAATTCATAAGTTATATCAGCTTTTTACTCTATAAGTTAATTTATAAGCTATATCAGTTTTTATTTCATCATAATTTTTTGTTTAGCTATAAAAAAGAAAATCTTTCACATCTCTCTCTCTCTCTCTCTGTTTTTCTTTTCCTCTCCCTCATCTCACTCTCTCTTCTTTCTTTTATCTTCCATGTACATATTATGTGTGTTGATGATAAGCTAAAATTACAAATTAATAAGAAATCATTTAATTTGAAATCAAATTAAGCTTACTTCTGTAGCATTAAGCATCGAAGATGTATTGTTGTTATTCATAGATGTTTCATTAGCTTTTATCGTATCATCAGATATCTCAAATGAGGTTGTGTTACTGTCGATTGTTGAATAATTGCCTGATGATCCTGTAAAAAAAAAGAATGCTAAATTTTGCAAGTCTTTTCGTTTCTTAAATTTTAGTAATTTTATTTGCAAAAAAAAATCTCATCAAATCTTACTAATATTATTTTAAAATATCATACAACATAATTGTTTTAATTTTTTTCCTAATTAATTATTATAAATTAGAGACAAAAACAATTTGCTACTTTTTTATTATATATGTTTGTCGTATTTACCGTATTCTACATGCTTACCGTATTTTTTCTACTGCTAAAATTTAATCGTTAAAGTAGAGATTTTTCGTTGCAAAAAGAAGAAATGATAAAAAATAAACATTACTGATTAAGTATCATTACATTATAGCAAAACGTATATCCGTTTTAAATAATCCATCGTTAATCGGTCAGCTGTTTATTTGAAAAAAAAATAGAAATGACAACAAAAGAATGACAAATTTATGGTTATTACAATTTTTTTAAATTTAAAATAAATTAAAAATATTCCACCAAATTTTTATTCATAATAAAACCGGAATAGTTAGATTATTATAATATGATCGGAATTGAAAAATGAATTAAAAAGTTTTCCGTTTCTTTTTTGAGATTAAACTAAAAGAACTGAAATATGATAGAATGGATTTCAAATTTTGATAATTAATTATGATAATACATAAATTTGTATTTTTAGGTGTGTTATTGGAAAAATGTCATGAAAATATCAAAATTAAATTTTGGAAAAAATTTATTCCTCCAAAATATATTCCTAAATAAAAATGTAGTTTAGAAATTTTCTAATTATTAGATTTAGAAAGCTTTATAATTTTAAAATTACTGTAATCCATTCCGATTTATAGCTTTTCATTAATACATTATTTATAAATGCATGTTCTTTTGTTTTTATCATTTCATTCCAGCAAACCTTTTAAGAATATCAGATACAATTTTTTTTTAAGGTAACAAAAATTAATACTTACCTCGATGGTTCATTCGATGTTTCTAAATTTTCAAAAAGCATAGCTTCGATTCTTAAAATAAATAACAAATTAATCTCTTAATCGGTACATCGATCTTCTTGCTGCTAATTTCAACCAAATGTTTTAGTTTGTTTTTTTCATGGAAATTCAACAGTCAGTTGTTTCAAATTTAATGTATGATGAATCGGTATTACAACACTTAAAACTAGCAATTTCTACGTGAAACAAAACATAATTAAAATTTTTGCTAAATTTCCGGAAATTATTTAGGATGTTCTTTTTTTTTTCGTTTCTCCAAAATTTTTACCTCAAACTTAATTTTCAGAGTTTAATTTTGGGTTTTATTCCCAAAATTTATTTTTTAGTTATTTAGGATGATTTTTTTTTCAGTCTAATTTATTTTCACCTCAATATACATTTTAGTTGCCAATTAATTAACCTGAAAATTTCAAATAATATGATCATTATTTTGCGGCAACAACAATATGATCATTATTTTCCAAACGATACAGACGTATCGTTATTTCATTTATAACTTTCCGAATCTTTAATTGTCTTAAAAGATGATGACTAAGTCCTGATTCAATTAAACTTCGATTTCGAAATTTTACATAGGTAATATGTTGGAAGATATTTGTTTTATAAAATATTTTAATTTTCCGGAAAAACGGTAACAAATTTTTAGATTGTTTTATTTTCTGATATTCATAGTTTTCTTCGAATGAATAAATTTATTATAAGATAAGTAATTCGATTGCTAGCTATCTTGAAAACAAAAATTTCATCATATCAAAGGAATTTTGCATTAAATTTCGTATCCAAGTGTACGGTATTTTATAATTCATTTCATCTAATGTTTAAAATGATTGCAGCTATAATAAAACAACAGTAATAGTAACAATGATAGTGATAATAGTTGTTAATTGTAATTAATAATGATAGATTATACTATGAACAATAAAAGATATAAACTGATCGTAATAATAGTGATAAACAAAACAGTAAAAAAAGTGAAAAGGAGTGAGAAAGAAAAGAGATGATAATTTAAACAACGAACCATTGACGAACGAACGGAAGAGTGGAAAAAAGATGAAGGATGCCATCAGAATCCATCTTATTTTATTTTCACGTTTTACCATTTTTGACGTAGCTTCTGAACGTTACGTTCCTTTCAATATGTTCGCAACTATCGTGTAACTTTCAGCCAATACCTTTTATCATTTTTAACAATAACTTATCTTTTAAAAAAGTTTTTTCTCAATGAAAACTCCGCCTATGTCTGCTCCTTCTATTTGCTTTTTTCTTTGCTCCTATTTTTTCATATCCGTTTAAATTACTACTAACCGGAATATGAAAATTGCTGACAACTAAAGAGTATTTTAATAATGATAGCAAAAGTTCATATTTCAAACAATTTGATAATTTTTCTTAGAATTAAAATAATTAACAAAATTATCAGTAAAATCTCATTCATTGATTGTTTTTCTTTTGTTGCAAATAAATTTTCCAATTTCAGTTAATATTTCTAATTTTATTTTTGTAACATTTTTCAATGATTTCTCTCTATTAGTTCCAGTCATTATCCTTATTATTATTAATTAATTAAAACTATTAATTTTAATTTTGAATTTTTTAGGTATCATTTATGGAAATGTATATCAGAATTAATTTTGAATTTTAGGTATCATTTATGGAAATGTGTAAGATATGGTATTCAACACGCAGAATGAGGAGAGATTGTTTTATGTCTTACAACAATTATCCATTTCTACGCTTTTTCTGAAGATAGATTCTATCGAAATGTTTTTATGGCTGATCTTTTATTATTCATGACTGAAACCGATTATCCCACGCGGTACCACTTTTTTTGTAGAACGGAAGAGAAATCACCATTACACGGCGGTGTAGCTATAGATTATTACGCACTACTAGATGCGTTGCCGATTCCGGCTGCTTAATTTTATCACCATCAATCTCACTTTAATGGTAATAATTTACGAGATTATGTCCTAAAACTCCGCTTATCAAATTTCCAGTTGTTAACCCTTCTGACTTATTATCACAAATTAATTAGAAGTGTGAGAATCGACTTAAAATCATCCGTATCGTCTGCTAACATCAAATTTTTGAAATTATAATTCAGTAAGTGATGATATTGCTTGATCAATAAATATCTAGAAACCTTTTTTAAGACTCTTTAGACCACTTTCGGGATATTTAGGAATTCTTTGGAAGACATTTGTGCGTCCTCTTCTACTTAAAACAAGATTAGCTAAAACGAAGGTAAAATGAGCGATTGTGAAATGCTCCAATTCTGAAAGATTTTTTCTTCAAATTCCAGCAACATTCTTTTTATAATTCCCACTAATAGATTCCTAACAACTGTCGTTCTTTTTGCATGTGTTCCAACGACTCACACTACGGGGCAATTGCCCGGTAGTTACCGAGAAAAAAAGGAAACCTTTCAGCACCAAAGTCTTTTCGTGATGCAAACAATCACAAACAATTGCTCATTTGTTTGAAATTTTTTGATATCTTAAGCAATAACGGATGCTTTATATATAAATGTAAATATTATCTCCATTCATGGGTATTCCAACTGCATCTGAGAAGTATAATGAATCGAAACTTGAAAAAGTTGAACCGATAGTGTCATCTTCTAGAAGTAAAGACGAAAAGTAGCTCCAATAAGTCACCTCGACAAAATTAGTAAAGTTATGGATAATGCTGGCAATATAATGGTATTCCTTTGTCTTTCTTTAGCAGAATACTTATTTCTGAACCCGTAACGAAAATTATCATGAAATAGGGTGCAGACATAAATGCTAGATGTCGCCTCGTTTATTTGCCCATTTATCCCTGCTAACCGTTCTAACGAATTTTTAAATGATGCGTGATCCAGAAGGATGTTCTTCCATTCCGCTTGCTGACAGCAACATGGAAGATTAAAAAGGGTAAGGAAAGACGAAGGCAGCATGTAAATCAATGATGTATGATGTAAAGAACGACAAGTTTATACACAATTTCTATTTTCATTGACGTTAAGCAATTTCAAAACTATATACACTTTCAGTTCTTTTTTCACATTATCATGCAGCACTAATGAAAAAAGGAGAAAGGTTCCTGGATGTTTAAAACATATATGCATATATATATACATCTCTATAAACACCAATAACCAGAAACATAATCGCACAAGCTTACCGAACTACGATGTTATGTTGGCTTCGATCGTGCCACACGGATAATAATTCATCGGAAATTAATTATATCTTTCGAAAAACCCTGAAACGAGAAAAACAAAGCAAAACTATTGCTCCATCAACTAACTCTGAATTAACAGCCATAAATTTCAAGGATAATGCATTAAGAATCATTATCCAACGTTCATTCGGTTTACAAGCGAATGTTTGAATTGTAAGAAGTGTAATGGCCACCTTGAGTCTAAGAAATCTCAGCTTTACAACTTAATTATTTCATCATCATTTCTCACTCTCAGAGCACTGCTCTCTGTGTTACTAAAGATTAACACAGCCGTCTACACAATTCAAACTTACCAGAATGAGGCTTCTCTTTTACAACATTACAGCTATTATCAAAAAATAACTATCATTCATTAAGAAACTTATTATTCATTATTAGCTGCTTAGTTCATTTGGTCAGTTTATTTGCATTATATCAAGCAGTATGCCACTGTTAAGTATTCTCCTCAAAAAAGACTTAAAAAACGTGTTGAATAAAAGAAATTATTCTGCATCATTCTTTAACACAGACTATTCAATAATAAGCTGAAACTCAACTGCCTACATAAATTTACATGACCTAGCCTCAATATGCTTGAGAACTAGTTTGTACTGAGGCTAGAAAAAAAACACCAAAAAAAATGACATACCGCTAAAAAATATTTATAAACTGAAATTTACCGAATGAATGGAAGAAGTTCTAATCCTTTCCTGAAATGCTATTTGTAGAATGAGAAATATTAGTGATTACAACGCGGATATTTTGAAAAACATACATCAATATTTACCAGTTAAAACAACTTCAACCTAAACAAGCATTATCTGATAATAAAATTCTTAACAAATATGATTACTTATGATAACGTCAATTTTCTAGATTATTTACGAAAACGGTAATTTCCTGAAGATAAAATCAGATCCAGTAATATCCATTAGAAGAATGAATAGTAAAGTCTTGAAATTATAAAAAAAAGAGCGGAAATAAAAAGCTACTTTACATTATTTACGTCGAAATTACAAAAAACTCACTTCATAATATCCACTGCAACGCACACTTCTTATCTACATCGCATTCTTCATCGCTTCCTTCGCTGCATTATATTTTCATTATTCAACCATTGTATTTTTTTTCAATCTCAGAGATTTGCAAATAAAGAAAGAACCTCAACTTTGTTCAAGAAAAGACGAAACAACGGAGTAACAGCTCTAGTTAATAACTTTATAAGGAAATTACGAAACCTCATTACTTGAATCAACCTCACCAAGTCCAACTTTGTATTTTGATTCGATTCAAATTTCATAGCTTTCCTTATATCTAACTTAAAATATGCAGAAAAAATACCAGAAACCTCCTAACTGCTTCGCTATGACGTAAAGGCACTTGGGATACATTAGACTTTTCAAGTCCGTCACACTTCTTTTTAATCACCGAATAGTAGTAACGATGAGGAAACGAACACTGAAATCCAATCCAAAAAAACAAATGAATTTTGGCACCAGCTGTATAACAAATTCATCGGGAGAAATTAACAACTGCCGAAAATCTTAACTTTCAAATATTGTTAGATATTTAACGAATAACTATATCAAAAAAAAAAAAAAAAAAACAAAGCGAAACGGTAGATGGATAATCACTGTCTCTCTAAACAAATTTTCTGAAATAAAGTATCAGTGCGAATTCCTTACACTTTACTTTCTTCCCAATTACTTGTATCTCACTTTCCCATTTCACATACTGCTTGGATAATATTATGGCTCAGAAAGAAGATTAGACATCTTTCAAAGAATGCATGTGAATTCAACCGACGAATTAACACATTAAGTTGCATCCTCAATGTGAAGTTTACGTCATCGCCAAAAAAACCAGAAAAAAATTTTTCCAAAAAAAAATTTTAAGGCATCTCAAGCTGAGTCCCTCTCTAACCCCATAACTATTAAACAAGAAATTTAAATAACATACGGTGGAGCATTTTTTGCAAACTCCTCGATTGAAATCTTCACATGGTTTACTACCAACAGCATGTTTAACATGCAAATATGGACAACGTTCATCAGAACAAGTAAGGCGCAAAAAATAATCACAAATTGGCATTTGATGTGGGGAAAGGCAATGAGCCTGTCCACAATGACCACGACATAAGCCCAACATTAATCTGAAATTAATACACACTGCACAATGAACCTTTTAGTTCTTGATCTTCAAATACAATCATCATACTGCCAGAAAATGCGCTGTATTTGATAAAAGAATAAATCTGATAAATTCCGAACATGATTTATTCAAAACCAAAAAAAAGTGAAACTTCACTTGTTGCAAACCCTCGTTATCCTATGTGTAGAATCACCACCATGATCGAACGAACAAAAGACACCAGCTAGGCAATGACCATGTTCCGCAAACTCGAAACATTCGTTAGATGCCTCCGTATACAGCTTATCTTCAAAAACCCGTTCTTATAATTGAAAATAGTAATATTAAGTTGAAGTATTGAAAAAAAAAATTAAAAACATGCAATTCAAACAGAGCAAAACTTTTCAGACAAAATTAATTTGTTTCCACATTAAACAGGAATGATGAATGATATTATGAATGCTTATTCTTACCTTTAATCCTACGAAGTCGACGGTTTATCCTTCGCATTTTAAACGGAACATTATGCACTGGTGAAGTCTGCTAAAGCAGGCTTTCATGAATAACGTACGAACTGTGCATATAGAGACAACAGATAAATACAAAAACTTCAACAATAAAAATCAGTTAAAAGAAGAATACTACTTCATGACATGAATGCATAGTGGATCTCTATAACAAGAAAAACTTACGAGCACTTCATCCTCAACCTCTAAACCCTCATTTATTTGTCGTCTCCTCCATGACATACCATTCTTTGACATTGTCCCATTGGAAGATAGGGGTTTTGCTGTTTTTAATATCTTTGATGCCGCAATCGTATTCGGATGAGCAGATACTACGGCATTTGCTGAAACCAAGTATAACAACACAGCTGAAAATTATCGCACCAAAAAAAGCCATAGAAGTGAAGTCTATATGAGAAAACAGTTCATAAACGTACAGGAGGAGTCTTCATTATTAGTGATTGTGAGACTTGGAGCGGGAATCTTTTGAGTGGGATGAGCAACTTTGCGCACAATTTTGGTAGCAGTACGAATAACAGCTGGAGCCTGATCCATAGTTAAAGAACGTTTCAAAGACGTAAGCGTCAAGGACGAATCTGGACTATTGCGATAAGAATCCTGAAAGAAATTAATTATAATAGTTCAGAGCTACTAATCAAAACAACACTTTCACAAATAACAGGCATAAATCAGAGGAAGGCACGATAAACACAAGTAACGAGCTAAATGCCAAGTAAATAGTTGGTGAAATAACAATTTCTCATTCAGCATTTACAAACTTTCTTGAAGACACCTAAGAACAGCAAAGACCAAGGAATCTTTGGAAAAAAAGAATATATGTACCACTCAAAGGACACGCAATAGATACTGGTATAACCTATTACATTTTTTATCTTAAAAAACTGAATACCTTTTCAGGTTGAGGCTCATTATAATCGCTACTATCATAATTCATGTCGTCACTTCGAACTTTCAACGGGAATGTACGTCCTTCTGAAGACTGTGGGCGACCACAGTTTTCCGGTAATTTAAATACTTTTCCCCTGAATTGCGACCGCATGGTTAAGCTGCTATCATTCAAAACTGCTTCCTCACTTTCAAATCCTGAATTTTGCTAACCATGACAAATCAGCTGTTACGATCCAAAGATTTCAAATATCAGACGAATCACTAACACCATCTCTCCTTCCTCCTTGCCCCCACTCTCTTTATCCTCTCCCTTCTAAAAGCGCACAATACAAATTTGACCTGTAAAAACGTAACCTACCAGGAGTAAACTTAGTGTTTTGTCCACTCAAATCATCTGACTGAATTACCTGTAAGAAAAAACAAACCAACAACATGCCACAAAATAAGAAACATTTTTGACTTTCAGTGATGAAGAAAATTAATCAAAGTAATACTCGCTTTTAACTGCAGCTTTCCGTTGAGAATCCTATAACCGGTATTAATGCACCGCTTTTTGAAGCTTCATTTAAATGTTCAAAAATGACACTTAAATTACGATGCATGTTATACATGTCATATCATTTTTCATTTGAATGTATCATCATTCAGAAAATACGATGCATTGAATTACATTGGTCGGTTATCAACATCACTATTTTCTCAATACCTCTAGAAAGCAAAGATCTACTATATTTACAATTTATATATATATATATATATATATATGCCATCATTAAATTACCCTCTCGTCCTCAGAAAACTAACCTGTTGATCATTCTGAAGAACACCTTTTTCAGTATGCTCAGTATTAGTGCCTGTAAATGTAAAAATTGAGAAACTCAGTTTTTATTCCTAAATTTTTTCAGAAGTTTTTCACCGTTAAATATATATTAAAAATCCGCGATGCATACATAAAAAGTACAAAAGCTAAGTAAAACACTGTTTCAATCTCTATTTCAATTTAATAGCGCATACTTGACCCATTTTAGGTTTCAAACAAAAGAAGAAAAAAATCTGCTCAACAAACCTGGGTTAAAGTTAGTAATCTGCAATGTCACAGTAGTTCGTTTTATTGGAAAACCAAGCTAAAAATATAATTCAAGCAAATTCTTTGCACATAAAGAGACATAATTCCTACCATTATACACACCACTTACTGTAATGTTACAATCTCAACAGAGAATGTTGCAAAGACGATCAGGGTGATACTGCAGAAGCTTTATTGTAGCACATCCTCAAGAAATTTACCTCTGGTGGCGGAGGTGGTGAGTTAATTAAACGAACGTAAGTTCTCGGTTCGGAATGTGTTTGTGTTATTCGGTTTGTCTCACTACTGCGGAACATTCCCACATTAGAGGCGTACAATGGTTCATAGTATTGAACTGCAAATTAACAAAGAATTTTGTACATATACAGAGATATAATAACAAACTAAAATGAGTAGGTTAGCTTTCCTGCTGATAAAGTTTGTTTCAGTAACCAGACAAACAAAAAAGAAAAGCAATATTTAATTCCTTACTTCAACTAAGAGATGTAAACGTGATTAAGAAACATGGAATGTTAAAAATATCATTGAACATAGGTCAAGAAAACCAAATGTGTTAATGATAGAAACTTGACAACAAACGATCACAAGCACATGAAGTTATGAAGGATAAATATATTCTCATCATAAATACTCCATAAAATACGAAAAAAAATAAGAATTTGAAAGCACATACTACAAAGTAAACTGACTTTTACTCGTCGCAGTAGTTATTTGTTCGCAAAATTGTTGTGTATCCTGCCAGTAGCAACCTTCAAAAATTATTAAAAATTATTTTCGTCAATTCGACCGATGGCATGCAGCACCAAGCATCGGGTGCAAGGAAAAACTGATAACATTCTCGTCATTCATCTATCCCAGTAATAACTCCTATCATCGGGATTTTCTTAATCGCCAACAGGCGGTATTATCTTCTTAAAACATCTGCCTAAACGTTTACGAAACAATCTTTTTTTCACTGTCCCTCTTTTGCTATCTCGATGGTATTTCTTTGCAGAAATTTGAGACGTTGCTGACAGATCATTTACATGAGTTCTTGCTGAGTCAAGATAGATTTATTAAATAATGGCTCATAGATATCTGACAAAACAAACACTTGGACATATATAAAGAATTGAAAAACACAAACAGCTCTGAAGCATTTGAAATAGATACTTCAATATGCATAAGCATCGTGAGTAAAATCACCTGTTATAAATGGATTATTTGCTGTTAGTTGTAACGGCAGAGGATCAGGTAAAATTGAGGGCGTTGATGATGGTTGAGGTGGTAGTGGTGGCGGTAATGGTAGAGGTGGTGGCGGCGGAGGTGGTGGCAAGGATAGTGCATCGCATCCAACTGTAATCTATAATCCGCTGAGGAGTGATAAAATTATTTACTGAGAGAACAAAGGAATCGAATAATACTCAGTAGTAAGAGATTATGAATAGACTAAGCTGTGAAGTGACTAAAAAAATTTTCTTGCGAAAATTGTCAGATCTATGTGGAATCGCATTATATTTTCTAGAAATAATTTGGAGGAAAAAGTCATTACCTGGCAGAAATCAGATATTAACTCCAACAAAATCTCATTGATTTTAAGCTTTTTTATCAGCAAAAACAATAAAATCAATAAGAGATATACCTTCAAGGGTAATGTTGTCTCATGCTGTGTCAAATCCACCAATCCACTTCGTCCATGGCGGAATCCATGCCGAAATGACATATAATTTCAAATACTGTAATTAAGGATTTATCCACTTTTTCAGTCTCAAATCTTGCAAATTAGAATAATGATGATAACGGAAGATTATGGCATGCCTTTTGCCAGATACTGAAAAACACCAGTACTTTTACTTACACGTAGGACCAAGCAATTTCGGTAGCAATTCCCTTGCGCCGATTCAAACAACCTTACGCAAAGCACAGATATCCGTCAAATCAATACATAACAACGAAATTCACATAATCCACCATATACTGGCCCCAGTCCAAGAACCATTTACATCACCGACCACAGTCCAAAGAGTATTCCAGTGAAAAGTGGTTTAATCAGACCAAGACACTAAATGCTATCGGAACTTATAGAGAAGTAATTGGATTTTTGGTCTACCTTTGCTATCACTCCTCTGTGTGGTTTATTTTTTTTAATCTCTGAAAACGTTGCATTTAATAAATTTAGCATTCTCTTCGTTCCAAACACTGTTTCTTTTGCTTTTTTTCTTAGCAAATTGTGATATCATTATGCGGTGAAAATGATTGCATACAGTTTTTTTTCCACACTACCCTGATAGTATTAGTATCTCTTCGTTATTTTCTGCTTTCTGTTTCGAACATAACCGATAAAACATATTACATTAAAAAACAAAACAAATCTATTAAAACAACAAGAAGCAAAAATATGATTTAACTATAATAAAACTTTTCAGGATAAATATTTTAGATGAATGCAAGCAGTAGCAGTGGGGGCAGCAATGCATGTTTCGTAAGTGAAGGATGCAGTAAGTATGTGATACCAGGTGATCGACTGTTTCCTATTAGCGAGCAGTTGAAAGCAGGTATTGGTACTTACGAATTGTTCGGACATATTTATGCATCGTTAGCTGGTACCCTACATATGTATACAACTGTCGAGGTAAGGCTTTTAATTTCAGATTGGAACAGAAATATTTTTTCAATATTTATGTATTAAGATTCCGTATTACTTTCAATCTTCAAATTAGATGATAAGAATTAGCACTGTTGCTGGTAAGGACACGATGACATGAGCTTACTACATTCATTGAATATTCTAGAAAGTGAGGGCATTCCTTAACATCACAGCTATTTAACAGTTTTGAAAAGTCTTAAAGGTCGTCTTTGCTTTTTACTTTCCAAGATGTATATGAATGTTGGGGAGATAATTTTTTCCAAGGAGAAAATTTCAGTTTGGGAGAAGTTTTTCGTTTGAAAATTACTTTGATTATTTGTCCAGAAAATGGCACTACTTTATTTTTAAAAGTTGGAAAATTTCGATGTTGAATGGAACAGGAAATCAATTACAATAATAATAATATCTTTATTCCTGCGGTCTAGTTTACAGCGTGATAAAGAAATGAAAATCGTGGAAGTGCGACGAGAATCGGAAAAAGAGAAACGACATGTCATGCCATATGTTGGATGTATTGTAACTGCAAAGGTTTATTATTTTTCTTAATATTCAATTTTGCGTGGTTACTGGGAAAGTTAGAAAGCTGAAACTGAAGTGAGAAGGAAGCAGAACAAGGAGTCTAAAAATCTATGGTTCTTAACTGGACATTAAATATGCTTCAATGAGTATCGAATTAAGCATTTTGGAGTATCTTTTTTGTAAGATATCAAGCTCATTGAAATGTTTTCTACAAGACGATGAAAAACGCTGTAGTTTGAGTTGTCAAGCGGGTATTTTTATCTCAATATATTGTATCGCATATTCATTGAACATATGAATTATTTGTTTTTGGTTGGATATAGATAGTGTTGAAGTAGTTGTTAGGGAAGGAATGAAACTGATTAGTGTTGTAATTTAGAAAATTGTATTTTCCGGTGCAAAATATTGGCCAAAGATTTGCCAAGTGTGCGATACACTGTGTAGAATGTTCCGCTTTATCTCACGAATTTAATGGAATATTGAGGAAAGAGGATATAATGGCTGTCGAGAAAGAGAAAGTGAAACTTTTTTTTTTAATTGAATTGAATGATTAAATTTTATAAATGCCAGTGGTAGATAATTATATCCCTATCTTTTAAGTCTTGAATGAATTTATACATGCTGTGCTTTCGAGAAGTTTTAAGAATCTAGGAATAGATTGTTGCGTGCAGTCAAGCTAGAACTTAGAGCGATTAAACGGAATGATTTGTGATTGGTATCAACGAAGAAACAGAACTCTTAATTTACCCGTGGGTTAGTGATCCTTATGATGCATCTTAAAGTGGGATCTCATATGTTTTCTTTTTGCAGACAAAACTGGAGCAGTGTGTACATCCCGGTGATGTTATTCTAGCACGTGTTATTGGCTTCGGTGATAATCAGCATTCATATTTGCTCAGTACCATAGAAGATGAATTGGGTGTTGTGAGCGGTATTGGTGATTTGGGTGAGCGGATGGTACCGTGTTCTTTTAGTGAAGTAAAATCAGTTATAACAGGTGCGCGTGAACCTCGAAAAGTTGCACGTATACCTGATTTGAATCATTAAGTATTGTCTTGCACTATTTCTTGTGTTAAATTCCTGTAATTTGTTTTATAAGTTTTCGATTCATACTTATCTTTTTTAATATATAAAGAAAACTGAAGGTTTCTGGAGAGGAAATTTGAGATTTAAAATGTAAACAAAGATTGAAAGAAACATCAGAAATTTCTACTGAACAGAGTAGAAATATCCATTATTTGAAGGAGGATATATATTACTTCATAGTGAATGCTCTGTTGTAATACCCATTTGTAATTTTGACGGCTGACATCGTGAGCATTTTGTAGGATAACTTACGTTGTTGGGTTTTGTCATTGCTGAAGATCATTATGTACGACTTTTTCACGATTATGCTTATGTTCTCGTTAAATATTCAATTATTATTGTTGGTGTTACCATTCATGAAATATTTCCTATTAGTAAGAAAGAGACTAGTTATTTTTTAGTTTCTATTTTTGTATTTAGACTCTTTAGAATTGGATTGATGTCAGGGAATAAAATAAAAATAATTATAGCAGCAATCAAAATCGCAAAAGAATGGTATCGCATTTAATTTCAGTGCTTTTTTTTATATGATCTTTATTTCATCGGGTAATAGTTAGAAGGCATTGAAGTAGTTCAACGATTATCCAAGATATATATGGTAATCTTGCGTCTCATTCGTCATCCGACCAATGGTGTGTAAGTAGTTTTATGCCGAGATTTTCACGCCAGGTCCCATATACTTGATTTCCATGCAAGAATTTGAGACTACTGTGTTATTTCGTAATACAGACTAAAATTTTAAATGCTGAGAAAGTCAAATGAAGATTCTGTTCACAACAGTTTGGCAATACTGGATGTGTTCCTCTTAACGGTCGGGAAGTTTTAGTGATGATTAGTGATTTCAAATCGTATTGCTTTGGTTTCTTCAATGGAATTGCTAGATTGATGTTGATAGACATGTGATATTAGATTCCTCTGTTTTAGTGTCATAATGATATAATGTATCGCCAACATGTGGCAGAATGGATATTAAAAAAGACAAAACTAATTGAACGGTTGATAACCCGCAGCTATTATTTTTTTCCCTCCTTATCATCTTCTAGATATTTCAGGAGATGTAATTTACGAAAGGTTACTGGCGATGTATGAAAAAAAAATGAATTCCTTGAAGGCGATATCAAAATATATCAAGCTCGTACGATTGTTTTTACTGAATCATCTTCATGATTTTCTGCAATATTTTAATAATTGAAAAGCAAATCAAGATTTCATCAAGAATCACTTTTCCAACCATCTTCCTAAAGTTTCGGGATCGTTTTTTGGAAAACTCCCTGAAATGTCGGATTTGTTTAAATCTCTTTTTTCCGAAACTTTGTGCTGCATCCGTCGACCATGCGATGCACAATGTTGTCGAAAATTTAAATTTCAATTTCATTTCAATCTACACTTTCCCGCATAACCGATTTATACAAAATAACATGCAACTTTCTAGCAAATTCTCGTGTGCACTGCTAAATCGCAGCGTTCCGTGCCGGCTTTTCATTGTCATTGTGGTAATTTCTGAGCGATTGCTATCACAACACTTTGTTATGTCCTACATATCAGCACAACTTCCACTACATTTTAATTGGGTTTTTGTTCGGTAAAATTGACAATTAGCTCGAGACAATTAGTTCGGTTTTATGGAAACGTTAACGCGCATTCACACGCATTTGCCAATCCCATTATATATTCCATCCCCAAAACGACTAATTCAATCCTCCGTCACACCATCCAGCTCCCCGCCATGACACGGCCCTACTGCGCAGCGCGATCCGCAACGCAACTACGTCGAGCAGCTTCGCATGTGACAACGGTGACCTACAAAATGCTACTGCTGCAGCCCAATATCACGTGCAAGTAACATAGATTTCAGGATTATGTTGTACAGAAATGCGAATTGGATTAGACGAACTGTGTAGTAATCTTATTGAGGATAAGAGCCTAACATAGGTCTTTGCGTTTGCGGTAACAGGCGTTATCCAAGGCATTAAGAAGGGTTTTGAAGCGAAAACCTGTGATGACCTCGTTTGTTTAGGCGGTTAACGACGAGGATTCGGACGTGTGTTGGCATGTATCCTTTCACTTTACGTATATCACGCACTTCACGTAATTTTTTATTCTTTTTGAGCTCGTAGTGTATTGTTAACTGCAAAGGCATTTGTAAGAAATGTAGGCTAATATCTCTAGTTTTACTGCATAAAAAGAAGTCTTTTATTCTTGAGTTATTCATTTGCGTATATTGCAAATACTAGGAATCTAAGGAGTCTAATTCACCATAACATCGAGTAAGATTTCGTTCATATCTCATGCGTATGTAAACTTGCATATATTCTGCAGCAAACCATTTTTCATTTTTGACATGTGCTGGGTTGATAATTTCATAGTTATTCCTTTACTCCGTCTATTAATAATTTCGTCCTTCAGAAATTTCACTGCAGGAGGAGCATACCAATAGATTGGAATTTTTTGGATGGTTTAAATAGAGGGTTTTCGAAGTTTGGAGCCGAGAGATTCCAATCCATCAATGGCTTTAGGCAATGGCAAGAATATGGAATACATGAAAAAGTGCTGTCGTAATCTGATTTCCAAAGGACTTCAGTTTGACGTCGTGTAATTATTATTCAGTATGCAAGTAATTATCCCTAGTAACCCTAATCAGTAATACAGGTATTGTGAAAAGCAAGCGACATCAACTGTATATGCAATAGTGTTGTGGTGGGTGCTTAAAGTGATTGATTTCTGTATGGCATCAATCGTCGTTGGCTTTTCTATCGTTTCATGGCGCAAATTGATCCTACAGCATTGATTCAAGCATATATTCCATTTGCTAAATCGAGGTAATATTCAATTTCTAAACATATTCCATGTGGATAATTCTAAATCAAGATAATATTCAATTTTTAAACATATTCCATGTGGATAATATGATAGAAAAGGAGCTGTAATTCAAAAAATTTGATACAGAACATGTGGTTATGATGGATATAGTATTTCTTCCCATACAATTTTCATTTATTGGAAAGATGGAAATATGGGATGAAAAGAAGAACTTGAATGACAGACATTCTTACATTTGAGCAAGGAGTTCCTATCACGTAAAACGAAATTGTTTAATGTACATAGAGCGAGAGAGAAAGAAAGAGAGAGAATATGTTTCAAGAGAAATAGGTAATCTTTATTTTCACTCTTTGTGGTGTTGCTCGTCTCAACAGGTATGAGTGGAAAAGAGTAAGAGAGTGGGGAGGATGAAAAAGTCAGCATTTGGAATCTATTCGGAAATTACGTGATTTTAATGGAAAGAGCATTAGTGGTAGTAAATATATAATATAGACATATGATCATATGAGGCCATTTGTTGAGGGAAGTTTTCGATCAGCAAATAGATGAAAAAAAGAACCGAAGAGATTAGTGATGAGTGAGATACCCTGACTGAACTGTTATTAGTGATCATGTTGTATAACTGCTTTTTCAATTGAAGTGGAAATTTATAAAGGTTTAATTGCAAAGTTTTAGCGATCGCTTTAAATTGGTAGACATAACTATCATTAGAATGAAAAGTTCGAACTTTTGTAGTTCGAACATTCCTCATTAATTTTTGTCCTGCCTTCAAGGGTATATTTCATTTCTGTCTTCTTTGTTTGCATTCTTTCTCTTCTTTGTTTTACTTTTCCTTTTGTTTTGTTTTCTCTCTTTACCTAAGAAGGTTAGGTATTCAGTCGAAAGTAACTGTTCCTTGCATATAAGTGTCCTCATGTTTTTCTCTCTCTCCTTGTTCTAACAAAATTCATTAAATGGAACTTATTATAGTCAAAGTCTTGATTCTGAAAAACAATCAATGATGCGATCTACTACAAAAAATTGCACTGTGCTAAATTCATCAGCATCGAATTCCGGACAAAGCACGTCAAGAACATGCGAAACATTTGAACGTAAACGGGGATGCGAAGTAGTTTTCAGTGGTAATTCTGGTCTGTTTTGAATTTCTTCACATAAAATCGCATTTACTGCACTCTTGTACTTTGAAAATTAGCGTATCACTTTAAGAAGGATAGTGGAAACTGGAAAGAGAGCCAGATTTAATCAGTAGATTCGTAAATCAAGTTCAAGAACTTTCTGTTATGTGATGGGATTGGTCGTTGGATTAATGTAGATGAATTTAATTCATTAAAATTTTTGAAGTTATTGAGAACTGTATTTAGGACCAGTTTCAAATCATGCGCCATCTTCATATGACTCCACAGGATTACGTATGATTCAAACGAATTATCGAGATAGTTCGTCATCACCGCTTTCACCTCCCCCTCGAAGGTTCCTCCTTTGTCATTTCCCTTAATATACATATTCATGAATCCTTTTGCGTAGAGAACAGAGTTTTGCGGGAGGAAGGGAAAGATTGAAGAGTGCCACCAATTTAATACTGATGAATCAATACAACTCTTCATATGGGATATAAATATTGGAAGCTTCAAGCCTCTTGTCTGGAAATAGACAAACATCTTCTGGTATCGGATTTTCATAATCGTAATGATTTATCGTTTTCTCTTTTCATGGCCCATTTTATTATTCACTATTATAGCAAGTGGCGCAATGATTATCGGTACATAATGGTAAAATGGTTTTTTTAAGCATCTGAGGATTTAGTTGCTAAAATAAATTTTCGGAAAATTTCAATTCTGACTTCGTGAGCATTTCGATGACTTTTCATACTTGACATGACCTAATTTAATGTTTGAAATAATATCCTGTATAATTATTCATAAAACATTAGGAAGTTTTCTGCTCTATCTACAAAAATGTAGACAATAGTTTGCTACAGTATTATTTTTAAGAAAAGCCTTATATAACAAATTTAATGTATTTTAGTGCAAAACGGTTGAAAGCCAGTTCATTATCTATATCATCAGCGCGTAGTTCGAGTATGAGCAATACCGTCAGTGCATTATCAGTAGCTGTTAATTCCACCAACCAATCGTCAAAAAATCATACTGTTGCGGATGCTCAACAGAAAAGTACTGCAAAACATCTGAACAATGCACATTCCACTCAAACCAATGACGGAACAACAAAACTCTCGAAATGTTTTGCTCGAGATTTGCTTCACGCCACAAATAATGTTAGACGGCTTAAGTAAGATTTTTTTCAAATTTAAAGGATTGATATTGTAATGTTTGCTAGTCGTATTTTAATTAGCCGTTGTGAGGTGAAACTGCTCGATTACCGTCTTCAGCTACCGTGTTGTTTATCTCATTCTTGAGCTTATTTTTTCTTTGAAGTAAAGTTTAGAAAATTTTAATTCCTTTCCAGAAAAAATGAAATACAAACTGTTCAATTGATTATGTTGAAAATTCTAGCTCCTCCCCAGTTCGCATTAACTCTCACTTGGATTTTACAAATCATAATGGTTATGATGACAGTAGACCATCAACGTCGAAAGGTCTTACGCCGGGATCGAAATCCGTTCTAAATGGTGCAGTAAAACGACGCATACACGTAAATGTTAGTCATACGTTAGCTAGAAAATTGGAATCTCAGGTTAGTTTTACTGTAATAATTTTCAGATGTCATTTTTTTAATTTTTTGCAAATTTTCTCCTTTTTAGCTTATCTCATTTTTCCATTTTATTCTGTAGTATATAATTTGATGCAGGATGTAGAGGAATAACTATGAAGATGATTGTTCTTTGGGAAGAAAGTTTATTCTCGTTTCCGGGACTTGAGCTTTGGCTTTGGGAAAACCCGGTATAGTGAGCAGCATGTCCTCGAGAAATCTCTTTTTGAATCTTCAGCAATTGCAACATTCTAATTATGTTTTTCAGGGTAATCGTGCTCTGAACGGTAGAGCTGAAGGGAAACGATCGATGTCCGAAAACAGCGAACTGGAAACCAGATTCCCTATAAATCGTATAATATTTTATTCTACATGGGAAGGCAGCCGTGTTTTGGTTAGTTTTAATGATGTGTTTTCAAGACAGTACTGGGAATATTCTACATTCATTAATTGTGGAGCGGTTTCATTGTGTTGAAGTACTTTCTATTTTCAATTTTTGTACGAAAATATGGACTAAATTTTTCTGCTAACTACCATTATTTTCAGAATCCGGATGGTCGTAATATCGGCGTAGGCCTTTGTAATTATTCCAACGACTGCTTTTTAAACGCCGTCCTTCAGATTATTTTACACTGTATTCCGTTTGCACGATATCTTGGCGAGCATCTCCCTTTATTTTCGTGTTCGATTTTATTCTACTGATAGATTTCATGTTTTCATGATTTCATGTTTTATTTGTTTGTTTCTGCACCAAATTCAAATTGCAGGTGTGAAGGATTGTGTTGCTTGTGGTCTTGCAAGATTTATAAGGTATTCAATGTCGAGCAGACAACCATTCAAACCTGCTTGGATTAGTTTCATTTTGGAAAGTAGGATTTCCTTTTTTAGCTTTTTGAACTGTAATTTTAGAAATATCGAAAATACGTTTTGTACTTCGTCGTAAGTTATCTAAAAATTTTCAGAGGCATTCCCATCTCACCTTTTCGGTGCACAGGAAGATGCTCACGAAGCTTTGAATCACATACTGGATGCACTTGATTCAGAAGCACAGAATGGAACATCCTCTTCGGATCGTAATCCCAATAATCCATTAGAGTATTGTTGTTTTGCATATAATATCTTACAAAATACAAAAAAAATCGAAACACAACTCAAGTACTTTTAGAAGCTTTCTCTAAGATAAGCTTTAACATCATTTAAAATCATTATTTTTCCGATTTCTTTCTTTATTTATTTTTTGTTGTAGTGGACCACGCTTTCCCACACCAGTGGAACAACTTTTTGCCGGAACATTACGAAATCAAGTTCAGTGTTCGACTTGTTCAGCAATACTAATAAATTACGAACGCTTTCGAGAGCTTAATCTTGGCATAAAGAAACCAAGTTATGACAGGCGGATAACTTTGGAGGACTTACTCGATGATTATTTTGGCAACGAAGTGTTAACCAGTTTTAATTGCAAGAAGTATCTTTTTATTTTGGGTTAAGATTTGGGATCACGTGGAATATAATTTAGCCAGATGATGAAGCAATGAGTTAGGTCAAAGTAGGAGGCAGGAGAATCGTCAACGAGAAGGAGTAAATGTTTTGTAATAGGAGATGTGTTCTGCAATTATGACGTCTGCAGGTGTAAGAGGTCGACGCAAATCCAACGTAGTTCGCGTATTTTGCGTGCACCGAACCTTTTGCTTATCCAGATAAAGCGATTCAATTCATTTGGTGGAAAGATAGGCGTCCATGTTAATTTCAATGTATGTTATTTCGGAGAAACTTATCTTGCGTTACACCACAAAGGTGTCGGTCATTAGTCTGCACATGTACTTTGAGTTACTGCATTATATTTCCTTTATAGTTGTGTTTCGTAACCTAAATATACTGATCCGTTTAGTTAAAGGTTTAAGATTGTCGACAATTCGGTTCGCCACTAGATTACTCTCTTGATGCTATATAAAACAATCTAGATTTAGTGCCTAATTTTGGCAATCTCTTCAAAAGCTAAGTTATTTCTAAATTATTTGATTAAGTTATTATTGGTATATTTAGTGACTGTGTGCAGGTATATTTTGGCAGGATTTGTCTGTAATTAACTTGCAGAATCATGTAATTAGCTTGCGGAATCTATACCAACTTATCTTATAATTTCTTTTGCAAAAGCTAAGTTATTTCTCAATTATGTAATTAACTTGCAGAATCTATATAAACTTATTCTATATTTTTTTTGCAAAAGCTTAGCTAATTCTAAATTTTTAGTTGAGAATGAACCTCGAACGATATGTTCATCGTGCAGCGGAAGCGCACTTTTACGAACTTACTGGTATTGTTCAGCATACGGGTAATGCAGTAGAACATGGGCATTATATTGCTGTCGTACGAGGATTTGATGGTAGAAGCTATTACTTGTTCGATGATGAGCAGGTATATAAATTTGTCATTGTTTCTCTGCAATCGATATTTCCATAAAAGTTTATTTCGTGATATTTTGTAAAGGATTAACTTATCTGCTGAAGGAATATGAAATTTGATTGAAATAGAAAGGTAGTCCCGGGTAGCAGAACTTCACCACGAAAAGAAGAGTTTGTAGAGTTAATAGAACTTAGTTTTTCGCTGTATTTTATTCAATTGGCTTAGATAGCAAACTGAAGATTGTATGTTGAAGATTACTAGAATTATCCAGTAATAGTATCTGTTGCATATAATCGCACTTGAGTTTTAGAAAGAGACATATAATGTTAAATAAACCATTTTATTAACCTGACGACCAGTGTTTTAGCAGTATCATTATATTTCGTGTCGGAATACTAAGCGCAGAAGTTTTTATTAAAATATGATGCAATCTAGTCGGACGTGCATTCCCAATGATGTATTTTAATTCTATCCTTCAATTGTGCAGTCCGCAGTGGGGAAGTCGTCAAAGAGCTTTATATATTATTTGTTTATCGTAGCATCATTTTCGATAATAATTGAAACTTGCTCTTCCAGCGTCACAGAGTCTCTCTCTCTGAATTGCACAACACACAGGCGTACATGTTGTTGTACGTTCGTTCTAATGCATTCAGAAATTCCGTTTCACCTTCATTGAATCCTGCGAATGAAGCACAAAGCGATACACCTCCCAGGAATCGAATGATGAAGCGTCCATATGTTCAAATATCAATGGATTCTTAAGCATTCGTATTTTGCAGTATTCGTTGACTAATGAATGATCTGTTGAAAGGATCTTCTTTTTAAATTTTGTTTTTGAAACACCACTTGAAAATACATCTGCTTTACGAAATAATAAAGAGAGAAGGAAAATAGGCACAAACTTTTAAAGCAATCCCAAAAGTACTTGCAAATTAGAGGTGTGCGATGACTTTGGGTAGTTGTATAGAGGTGATGATAATGAGAGTGGTAGCTGACTACCTGATAGTAATTGTATTTTGGTTTCGTGAATTTCTGATTTAGTTTGACACAGAATTTCTGTATGCAATTTTCTGCATTATGAGTTTTGTTGAAAAGCAAGTTAGCGAATTATTAGGGAGTTTCTTTGTGTTTTACTTAAAAATGCTTATGTAATTTTTAGTGGTGTCATTTCGTATTAGTGAAGTTAAACCACAAATGAAGTGAAAACAGAGTTATTTTTTAACTATAGTCCTGTAATCACCGCTGATAACTGCTATACTACCTAAACTTTATGGCAGTTTTGTTGTCTTTTTTATTCTTACCAAACATTTAGATTTGATCGGTTTGTACACTGCCTTTAGGGTAACTGGAATTGTAATTCTGCGTTATTTTTAAACAAAATATAAGGATTTTCTCGATTTTCTGCCTTCTGTAAATTTCGGCTGGGTTACAGTGAGATCTATTCACACATTTCTCAAACTGTTTAGCCTTGGGCTTCATTTATTTTAACAACTACTTTGTTGTAGATCTCGTTGAATTCATCATGATATGTGTATGATGACATTAAAGTGATCTCCTATAGTTATTCCTGATTTTTTTACTTTTTCTTTTTTTAAAATCTAGACAAAATTTTTAGAATTGTATGGTTTTTGTATATGTATTACTGACAAGGGAAGAATGAATTTAAGTGGAATATGTTGAATAGTTGATTGATCCAAAGTAACCTAGCAACTTTATTTAAATTGCATGCAAATCAACGAATCTCTAACTCTCACCAAAGTGTGTTGATGAAAGGATTTTTTTTTTCTGGCTTCTGATAAAGTACAATATTATTTGGCATGCTGTCTATGTATCTTTTATCACTGCTGAATTTCTCATCTTTATAAGCATACTATTTAAATTTGTTTTAGTTGTGAGAATGAAAGAGTTCATTTCTTCAGGAATTTACAGTTATTGTTCTTTTATTGCTTTTCCATATACATGGAATGTGAAAGAAATTTCCAATTGTTAAACATAGATGTGCATGCCTGTTTTGTCGCTTATTTTGAATCGGGGAAAATTTTGAAATTATAGGAAAAAGTATTACATGTATTTGGTGAGTATAATGATAAGCAAAGGGGAGACGAAATAATATCTCTGAATTTTTTGGTTTTTACGGATTACATTTTGCTTTATGGTGGTTCTTTTCTCTTTCGATTGTGTATTCATCATTGATTGTAACGTAACTGGATTTGTTCTGGTATCATTCAATTGTGTCTTAAATTAATCTATATATTTCCTCTTGCAATATTTTTTACTGCACCTAATGAAATTTTTTCTGTTTCTTTTGTGTCATATAGTCCATCTGAATCTTCTGAATTTAGTATTTAATACAATACTTACAGTTGATAGGACATTGATGTTTAGATTTTCTAAAATCAAGATATGTTGTAACAGCGCTGATACTATCATTATTTGTATTTAACATTGGCGTGTGAATTTGAATGAGCTAGTAATATTTTATGATTATGTTTAGATGTCCTTTTCAAAAATTTCTGAATTTTCCAAATTTAACAATATTTTTTCGTATTTATCAACGAAAATTAATTGCCTCGGACTTTATCGTTTTACTGTTACATTGTTTGTTTGTTTGTTTCTTTTTTTCAAATTAAAGTGCGTTTTCATTAAAAGTTGTTGTTATGGCATAAAGCGATGTCTCGGAAATTCTTATCGATCTTTGCATGCTTAACAGATTACAAATTTTCTTGGGTGCTACCAGAATACAATTGTACGGAGACTTGGTGAGAAAGTTTCACATTTCCCAAGTGCTTTGTTTTGGACGGCGTAAAATTTTGTAGTAAGGATTAAAATTATATATCGTGGATCGATATCTTGTTTGGAGTAATGCTTGTGTAGGTTGTTTGGGAAATAGCCATTGCCTTCGGATGTTCGTGTGGCGCTTTTTGGGTGCTTGTGTGGTATTCATATAGTATTTTTCTTAAGGAATGCAAGTTTGATGCTCAGTTTTCTCTATATTTGTCAGGTATGGAGTAATCACCATCAATTCAAATCTAATAAAAGCGTATGCTTGTTTTTCAATGAATGAAAATTACATTCTGGATGTGTTGACCAATTGGCCGATTGAAACTGCTTTTGCTACTGACTTCCTCTTGGTTATCATCTAGCACATTCAAAATTAACAGTTTTCAGTTTCTTGCTTGGCAATGTGGGAGGTATCGGAAGAAGGTCTTGGATTGCTGCAAGGTTGGTTGGATGAATTGGGTGATGAGAGTATCAAAGTACGAAGTGATCGATTAGTGAAGGTAATTAATTTGAGGCTAATAGCAAATGTAATATTAGAGAACTTTTGGGGTTATCTCGGAGTTGCGGGGTACATTGAGGATTGTTCGATTTTAGAAACGAATATTCTAATGAAAGGATAACCGAGATAATGAATATTCTGATGAAAAGATAACCGAGCTTTATCCTGGAACAAACAAGTTGTGATAGAAAACTTGAAAGTTTGCATAATAGCTTTCATTATTGTTGCAGCAGGAAATGATGATATTTGATTGCGATGAAATGATGACCATCCTAAAACCTCTTTCCAAGAAATTTCCCATTTATAAATTTATTGAGAGGATAAAACCTCATGTTCCAGTGATTGGAAAGAGAGTTAATCCCGAATATGAAGCTAGACTCGAAAGATTGAGGCGAGAGCAGGTAAATATTTAGAATCTGTTTTGCAATTCGTTGCTTTCTTCTTACGGAAATCTTTAGAAATTGCTGTATCCTCATGAAAGTGAAATCCCAAGACGGTATTTAGTCAATGATTGCTTTTTGCTAAATTTTTTTTATTTCGGAATTTGTTCAGAAATGAATCACTTCGTGTTTACGTACACAGTATTTCTCGCCTTAGTTATCATTTGGCAAGATAGTGGAAATTTTCAGGAAGATCGCGAGTATCGCAAGATGACACGATCAGTTGATCCTAATCAAATTTATGGGCGTGAAAACTTATTATATGGATTCGGTGAAGTATGGCTTTATTAGTTGCAGTTAAAATTCCCCTTTTAAACGACTTTAATCTTTATTTGATGAAACTGAAATTATAAACTGTTCCAAACTGTTGTGACTGACTAACACTTTGCTATCCTTTGTGCACTGTATTTTGAAAAGCATTACTATATTTACGAATATTTCTTTTGTGGAAGAACGGTGATTAGTAAAGGACACTTTTGCATTGCAGGAAATGAAGGCCATGAATAGGCAATTGATAGTGATATTAAATACACTTCTTACAGTAGCCGGTGGATTTTCGTTCGGATATTTCGGTAAATGCTTTTTTGAAAGTTTTGGAATATATATCGGATCACTTTGACTGGTATATCTGAACTCATTAGCTCAACTTTTGTATTTTAAGCTATGAAGAGGTTATATATATTTTTTCTTTTAGTCTTTTCATCATTGTTCCAAAAAACTCAATTTTTCTTTGTGGATATCAAAAATTTTGATATTCCAGGAATCGGCTACGCTTATCCAAGTTTACGTACGAATGTGGAATTTCGAGTAGCTCTTGGTCTAGCAATTGCTACTGTTGTTTTCATCGCTGATCTATATTTTATAGTAAAAGGAATGGATGATTTAGGGGAGAAACCGATAAAGGTTCACGAATTTATGTTATTCAGGAAGCATGGATATGCGGGATTGTTAGAAAACTTGAATGGCAAATTAAATTTTGTCTTGAGTGATTTCATGCCACATTTTACTAGAGCTTCGAAGCATTTAGCAAAAAATTTTTAGGCAAAGAAGATCGTTACAACAGAGAAGATTCGGAGAAGCGATACAATGAAGAAAAAGCAATAAATGTATAGAGCCACGTTAGGATTTCTAAGAAAGAATTGCAGTTCACTTATTCTATTTCATATAAGTAGTAGTATCCGTTGCTCTACTTTAATTGCTGCTCATTCATTATTTTAATTTTTATTTACCATCTAACTTCAGCATTTTTCTGCAGTGAATAAACTTCTCAAAGGAACTTTATGTTATTAACTATAGGATAAATAGCATGAAATATCAAATATAATATGATTTAAAAACAAAAACAAGAATGACATATGTCTAAAAAATTTTTAGAATAACTGTGCTATATTTCACTTATGCACGATTTGCACATTTCTGGGAATGTGATGTATATGTATATAGTGTGGTTTTATTTATACGAATTAATTTATACTTGTATGGACTTTGGTCTTTCCTTTTCACCTTAGTAATAATTCTCCTATCTCCCTTATGCTGTTGGTAGTGTTTTCCTTTAACTTTTCTCTTTGAACTAATGAAATCTAACGAAAGCAAAATTACGTTTCTTGTACCAACTTTCTTGTGTGTTAATTCAGTTGTTGTTTAAATATAATTGCATCGTATCCTTTTGTTTGCTTAATGTTGTCTATTGTTTACATTCATTAAAAGTATCAAGATTAGTTCTTTTTTGTCAAAAATAAGTTTTCAAGACGTATCATACAACAAGCCTTTTTATGCTACAGAATTACTTATGAATTAATTTCGTGTTGTCTATTTTTCTATGGCTAGAAAAAGCGGGATTAAAGAGTGAATGTGAAGAAATTCACGGAGAATTTAATTCTTGAAAGATGACATTATCATGACTTTGAAATCATTCTTCTTTTCCTACGATGATTTCATGAACAAGAATCCCGCCACATATTACAATTTGATTTTTCGTCTTCAGTGTGTATGTTCTGCGTCAAGGAAATTATTGCTTCAATTGAGAAAATTTCAGATTCTTGTTTGAAACGTGCTCGCTTTGAAATGCGATAGCTTTGAAATACTATATAAGGATTTATTCGTATTTTGAGGTGGAAGTATAGCCGAAATGTCCTTTCGTCGGATTGAATGTTTTAGAGATTTTTGCAATTTTTCTAGACTTGCTTATATGCGCAAGTTTTCAACAGCGCACTCAGATCATGGTGAGTGAAGTTTGAATTCACATTTCTAAATTTGAATCCATTTGCTTTTAAATTATATCGGCAGTACTATAGAATTATTGGGTGATGTAGAATTCTCCAATAAAAAAAACTCTGTGATTATACGGTTATGTTTTAATCATATGAGGTTATATCATATGAGCAAAGAGCTGAATTTCATGAGACATATATATGTACTATTGTTAAATATCACAGGCATGACATGATTATTATTAGATAGTTGCTGGTTCAAAGTAAATTCATAAAAGTAGAGATCAAGTATTAAAAAACGAGTAACTGTAATATTATAGGTGAAACAGCTAACATTAGCCGAAGTTCCACAGCTCTATCAGCAGCATTCGTACCTCTGCGTCATATTCCAACCTCAGATTTAGGTCATTCAATTCTAGCCAACAGTAATAAAGATATTTCATTAAAAGCACTGCAGGAAGGTAGAATGCTGTCACCGAAGATGGTATTTGCTGCAAAGGTTGGTATCGTGTGAATTTCTTTTTTTTAAAATATTGCTCCAACTAGTGAAGTAGTTTTCCATAATCTTTTATGTTTTAATTTTTGGTCTTCTTTCTTTTTCACTTTAGATATTATCACTATCCAGTTCGGCAGTTGCTCTTGCTATGATACCAATAATATCGCAACTCACAACTAGAAAACCGGGAGCTGGAACCGTTACTGCAGGTACCTTTATATGTTATTTTTTATATCACAACTTTCTCAGCATGTTTTTGATGATGGTACAGTTACATTTATGTTACAGCGATGAGCAGTTCTCCGAAAATGAAGTTCACACTTAACGCATTCATCCATTTTGATAATGCTTTCATCTCGCAAAAATCTTTCTTTTGGTTAGGTTGTCTGTAATTTGAACTGTTACTCTTTTTGCTACCTTTTCACTTCCGGTTTTCATGAGATTTCTGAGACGTATTTACCGTCATACTTCAACATTAAAAAATCGTTTTCACGTGCAAGCATCATTTTTTTGTCCAAATAGATTTTGTTAGGGTTGAAAAGGAATTCACTTCATTTGTTTAATATTTGACAGTTTTACATTTCTCACTATTAGCATGCTTCCAACTAATAACTGTCGCCTTTCTACCTTTCTTTACACTGTGATTTATACTGTCTAAAGAAAATAACAATGTAAATTGACAAAATCCATTATGATAAAATTTTTTTGCTTCTAGTATTTATTAATGCAATTTATAGTTCTGGATTCATTCTTCATTTTATATGCCTTTACACCAATTTTACTGCATCAAATCCTGGTGAAACGATATGTTGTCGATTTATATTATAATCCAAAAACGGAGGTATATTTTTCAAAACATTTCATAAAAACCATTTAATTCTCTTGCTCACTTTTTGGATTCTTTGTTTAGCAATCGTAATTTGTTTAATTTGTTTGTATCGAAAGACCTTGCATGAAAAATATCAACATTCCCTTCTTGATTGGCAATTATTGCACTTAGGTGTCGAAATTTCAAGTAATGGTGGCTTTTTTTCAACTCAATATATCTTTGAATATTCCTATACTTCAAAAGTCATATCATCTAACTTAACGTTGAATTCCTGTCCTGAAACAATATAATTTATTTGGTTGAAATATTTTAGATTTTCACATCAGTACACTTCGGGTTTTTCCTAACAAAAAAAGCGCTGAGGTTTCGAGCAGAAGATGTGGTGGATTCAAATCATTCGCCAGATATGTTCAAAATGTGGTTTCCGCTGGCTACTGTTGTAATATACGGAAAACCTTTGATGCTTCCTTTAAATGAAGAAATCTATGAAGATGTTGAAATTTTCAAAAAATTAACCAAAAGGATCAAATTAATAAGATAATACTTTGTTTGCTGAATGTTAAAATATAGTTCATCGAATTAAAATTTCAATTCCTGTTTTTGCTCAAAATTATGAGCGCTCTTTATCTCGCAAATCGGTTTAATCGTACTTCCTTTGGACATTCATCAAAACATTAAACTTCGATAGTATTCTCAAGAAATGACGACAGCATACCATAACAATGTTCCGATCCATTTGTTTGCTTTTATTTTAAGTGATTTTGTGCCACTTTGCTTCTGTGGCGAATAATCTTGAATGATAGTAGCATTTCTTCTGTCTGAACACATTTATTTTCTGCGAAAAATGCTTCTTAATCTTTATTTTAAGATTTTAAAAATTGTTAAAAAGCAGATAAGAAAATGAACAAAGTTAGATAGGACAACTGATATTTCGATTCCCAGAAATATTAACTTTTCGAAGTCAAAATTGCATTTATAATTGAAATTCATTATTTGATTGTATAATTGTAAAATTACAAACTTACTTCATTCATGTATATTCTAACTTATTCAAACTATTCTTTGAAGAATGGAATAATTAAGAAAAATAGCAATAAAACAATGTTTGTTATGTTTTCCAGAAGTAATTTCGAGAAAGAGAAGGAATCCTTTTCTCTACCTTTTATTGATTGCTTTTTAGTTTTTTAAAAAACAATTAAAATCTATGATATTTTCAAAATTTTGCCTCTTATCAATTATTATTCCTTCTTCTCTTTTTCTTCCATTTTTTTCTACAATGTAAATAAAAGAATGAATTTCAGGAAATGATGTCATAATATCAAAATTATCCGAATGGGAAATATGGTTTTACAACAATTTGAAGATGATGAATATCTTTTTATATGCCACCTATCATTTCGTTTCACTCTTATCATTTCAAGCAATCAGAATGATGTAAGGTGTCGGGAGGATAAATGAATTGTCATAAACCGTTTTCCACCGATTTAACCAAGCAAAATCTTAAACTTTCATCCATTTGATCTATTCTTCAAAGCTTTTTATTACATCAAACTTTTGCTTTCTTAGCATTATTATATCTTCATACATTGGATTCAAATGCATTTTCTACATTTATGCAACATTATCGTATCATTTATCATATTATCATCAATTTCTAATACGATGGCAATTATTGGTGGTGAAGAAAAGGATTGGAATCGATTTGGTTTCCTTGTTAAAGTATTCCATTTGTATACAGTATCATTCTTTGCTTTTATTTGTGTAATTTTAATACTTTCAAAATTTGCACGAATTTTTAAGGTTTTTTTAAAATTAGAAATTGAGAGAAAATATTTTAAGTTTTATTATATCTCTAAAAATTCTTTAATTTGAGAACTAATAAGTAAAGAAAATTTGAAACTCTTAAATGATCCAAATGAATAAGACAGATTTTTCTTAGTTGAGTGAATCGAAAATCATACAAATATAAATTTGATGAAATGATAATGCAAATGATATGCAAATGAAGTTAGATTTTCTTTGGTTGTCATCAAATTAAATTTTCAGTTTTTTTTAAATTGAATTTTTATTTTTCATTTAGCCCTTTTCTTTAATTCCCTCCCTCTTCTTTATTCTCTTTAATACTCTTTTTACTTTCTAATCCCCTAGTTTAGTAAACGCCAAATTTGATCATATACGATATGCTCCCAATACATTATTGGCAGCAGTTAAGCCGATCTGATGAAATTCTATAAATTATCACTATTCTATAAATTACTATTATAAATTATAACTATAAATTATCACTACTATCATCTTTGGTAGTGATAATTTATAGTTATAAAATATCAATATACTCAAATTTCTAAAAATTATTATAAATTACAACTATGTATCATTACCAAAGATAAATACCAATATATTCAAAAATAAGTATTTGATAAAATTACAAAACAGAAGTAATTGATAGGCAACTTTGCATATTCAATTTTAAAAAAAGACGGTATTATTGGAAGTTTGAAATTTAATTTATTTGAAAAACAATATTTAAAAATACTTCAAGGCTAATAATTGTCGAAACACTCCAGTTCTATTACATAATTTGGTGTTCATGACGTACGTAAAATACGTCTTTTTTAAGACCAAATTAAGAAAATGTCAGAAACGTAAAATTTGAAAACACTTAGAGTTTTTTTAATTAATTATAAAGAAAAGAAATGCTAATAATTGATCTTGGCTAAAGTATGAAAATATTTAGGTATTTTCACGTGAGAATTCATCAAATATTGTTACCAGCTGTACCGGAACGATCATTTCCACTAAATTAATACTGACTTCATCATATTGCTTATTGAATGCAACAACTGGTAGAAGGTAGGATTCGTACAAACGTTTATACTTTTATTTTTTTCACTTCAAAAATGAAATTACAAGATAAAAAAATGGAAAATCTGTCATTAGTTTCTGGTTTCAATAACATATGTTGCTATTTGTAAGAAAAACGAAATAAGATATATGAATAAGATTGCTGGCTATTATCAGATTGAAAAGATTGTCGATTTCGACAACGAAAATTGTTAAATTTAAATTTGATTAACAAATAGTTTAAAAGTTTTCAACAAATGAATGATTGATTGATTTTAGCTTTTAAATTTCATTCAGTTTTAACACTAATGAAAGATGAAAATCGATTGGAAAAATATAATTATAGGGGAAAATAAAAATTATATGCTAATTGAAATTTTAGACTATACGAATTCGTCGTTACGATACAATCACTGAAACGACCTAAAACATTATCAGCTGAAGTGATCGAAATTGGAGAAACATGGGGAATATTGAAAATTTCCGAAATACCACTATCAACAGTAATTCCTATGATTAACATATATCATTTGCAATATTTTCAACTTTTAATTTCAAACTTTTATAAATAATTCAAATGATCTGAAACTTTACAATATATCAATGAAATTGTTTTTTTACATATCAACAAAATTATAAATTGATTATATGGAAGAATTGAACTTCTCGTTGATATATTCCAAATGAAATATATTTGAAATGTATTAGTAATTTTACAATTATTATCATCATTATGTGTCAAGAGAAAAAAAATTATTAACCTGTTATCACCTATTAAATTGATTATCAATCTATAAATAATTCTTTTCAAAATTTTCATAGATTCGCTTCATTTATCATATTTTCTTATTTTACTTGAAATATATTAGTAATTTTACAATTATTAACCTGTTATCACCTCTCTTATTAATTATCAATATGTGGCAAGAAAAAAAATTAACCTGTTACCACCTGTCTTATTAATTATCAATCTACAAATAATTCTTTTCAAAATTTTCATAAATTCTCTTCATTTATCACAAAAGAAAAAAAATGCTTTTTTTCTTAATTACTTTAACGTTAAGCAAAATTATTTAGCATTATTTACAGTTTATTTAAAGAGCAAGAAATTAGATATATAAGGTGAGATAAGCGATAAATAAGTGAAATTTTTTAATTAGTGTAATATTCGTTCGGCAAAATTACTACCAACTTTTTGTGTGTGTGTTTGAAATAGCAAACTTTTTTTGGAAAAAATTTTTGAAGAATTTTTTAAAAATCTTTTTCTTTTTGCAACAAATACCTTCTTTTTCCCTTTCTCTCGTTCTCCCTCTCTCTCTCTCTCTCTCGGGAAATTAAAGATGAAAGAGAAAATGATCCTAAAAGATAAACTATCGTAATAGTAAAAGAAGAAATGAATTAAATTAATTTAATAATTTAAAGAATTCCTTTTTTTTAATATTAAATTACGAAATTATAATATTAAATTATTAAGTTATATTACCAAGTAATACTTTATTTAATTTCATTTAATTGTAATTTCGTAAATTGATCTTATTCTATCTTAAGATAAAAGAAACAAAATACTTAGTAGTGGATTATAAATTATATAAAATATTTTGAATAAGTTGGTTATAATCAGTTTACTGCTATATGTGGCAGCCATTTGCTAGGTATTGAATTGATCGCTTTTTTACAAATTTATATTTTCAGCTTTGTCCACCATTACCAGCACCAAAACGAGTAGCTCAGTTAAATGTTCGACCATCATTAATACAATCATCGATTGTAAATATTGATATATTGAAATTGAAAAACAAAAAATGTTGGATTGTTGGATTTGCTACAACAGATAACGGTAAATTTATCATCAATTAAAAATGATATTAAAAAAATCGATAAAATTTTTTGAAAAAAAGAAATTCATAAAATTTTTGCAAACAACTTTATTAGTATTTTATATTACATAATTTACATATTTTCCTTTCTTAAAAACTTTTTCATATATAATTTTTATAAATAATGTTAAATTTACAATCGAAATATTTTAGCAACAGAATTTATCAAACAGGAACAAATTCATTTGATTAAAATTCATTCGTTAAACTCTGTAAAGGATAAGCCTAATTATTTGTGGTCATCTATTGTTGCTAACGAAACTGCATGTTGGGTTTGTTTACTCTTTTCACTTTTTCGTTTCTTTGTTTTAATCTATTGTAATTCTAATTTTAAATTACTTTTAATCACCCGTAGTAACTTTAAATTATTCTCTAACTTTAAATTGTCTTTAATCATCCATAGAAATTTACGTCAATTTTTCTCTTTGTCATCTTCTCTTTCTATTGTTCTTTCGAATTCTTATCAATCTTTACCATCTCTTCATTTACATTATACATCTTTGTTTTCTTCTTTCTTTTCTTCTCTTTTACATTTTCAAAGCAGAAGATATTTCATAAAATTTTTAAAAATTATAGAAAAATATTTGCTACAATTTTCTTTTTTGTTTACCCTCTTCTCATATTTATCTCAAACCTCTGAAATTTCATCAAACTTTCAATCTTTGTCAATAAAATGTATTATTATTTCTCTCATCCATTTTCTTTCACTCTTTTCATAACTTATTAAAGTTATACAATAAAGGTCATCCATCCATTTTTTCAAGTGTATAAAATCGTTTTTTCAATTTTTAAGCAAATATTGAAGAGAAGTTAAATAATGGAAAAAATTTCAACATTCATGCAAACTACAATTACATATTTCTCATTTCAATTTTTATTTACCAATTAATCATTTTTGAAAATTTCGTTTCACTTCATTCAAATTATTTAATACTCTTTCATTAGTAACATTTAATTACTTCATTTTTAGCCAATAGTCATATCCATTTCCAAACTATGCTAATCTTTACCTTTAATTATCATAATTATTTGCTTATAAAGGATTTTAGGATGATGCTGGTGCAGCTTTATTTTGTTCGACACGAAATTGGGGACATGTATTAATTGGGATATTTCAACATTTGATAGCACCAAAGAAACCAATCGATCCACAAAAAGAAAATGTAAAAATGGATATGATGGATAGTTGCAGTCGTGCAATTGAAATGCGCTTCTCAAAAACGATCAATCAACAAAAAATTTTTGAAGCAATTCAAAAATTTGATCTTGCTGCATTTGTTAGTGTATATCAGAATTGTTTCCGAGAAATTCCGTATAATTTAACACCTGGATTGTAATCAATTCATTTTATTGTTTTTTTTCTTTTGTTTTATAATCATCAAAATATATGCAACTTCATTTTTCAGCAATCTTTATTCATTATCTTTTTTTCTTGCATTTATCTTTTACAACTTATGACATGATATGTTACTGCAAATTTTCATGTTTCGTTTTTGAATTATTTGCATAATAAATTTGCATTATTTAATTTAAATTCATCTAACATACATATTCAAATAAATTTCAATCATTTATTACAGCTAATTATATTGTTACAGATATTATCACAGGTAATTTATCAAGAATTATCATTATCTTTATCATTCATTTGCTTTCTAGCTTATTTCAACTTCATTGCTTTCATCAGCAGCTAACAATTAGTTGGTTGAAAGTTTTTGGAGAAATATCGATGGATTTGAATTGAATTTTCCAAAATATCTAATTATATACAAAATGTGATATAAGCGGGATAATTCAAGTTGATCATAATGATAGCAATAATGATTGCATTATGTTAGCTTTATAATTAATCTAGTTTTGAATTGCACGGCAATATATTATTATTTATTATCATTATTATTTATTATTCTTATTATTACTATTACTAATACTTCCATAATATATAAACTCTATTGTAATACTGAACTATTGTATATAACTGAGCATAATTCATGATTATCGAAAATTAGAGAGTAAAGAATAAAAGAGAATGATCGGCTGTAATGAAAGAGAGAAAAAGAAGGAATAGATGGAAAGAATTTTTGATAAAATTGATGGTCATTTACTAGCCGTAGGGTATAAATTTACTAATGCAACAGCCGGTCTTCGACAATGTTAATTTTCCCTCAACAAATATAGCTTTTTAAATTTTAAATTGATCAATTCGTTGATTATTTATTGTTTCGTCAACTTGTTATGGACAATAGCCATCTCTAATCGTTCTATTTTTACGTAATTCTTTAGAATTTAAATTATCCAAAAATCAAAAATTGTAACAATCAAATATTTTATTATCAAACTTTTTGCTATTAATCGTATTATTTGCTTATTTTAAAACAAAGGAAATATTCCATTATAGATTTTTTTTTTTCAACTTCCGTTTAATTTAGATTTTAACGTTAATTAATGAATTTATATGTAAAATTTGATAATACTTTTTTATAATTGTAAAATTTCTTATTGAAATTTGTGGAAAATATTTTAATTTAAATAATTGTATGTGATTTATTAAGTTAATTAATGTGCCAGAAAATCTTTCAGCTATTAATGAACTATTATTATTTCATCAGGTAATATTTGGTTGGTATCTGTTAAAAATTAACCAAACAAAAAGTATAATTACAGTATCTGTTTGCGTAGCCAATAAATGAAATTAATTTCAAAAAATTAATTATTTTGTTAAATTTTTTATAAGCTTCCAAATAATTATCAGCAGCTTAATTACTACACAATTCAGCCAGCGGTTTAATTACTACTGCACAGTTCGGATAATGAAATGTTGAAAATTTTCTGCAAAATACATTTGTTATGCAACAATCTTCTACTTTCGATAAATAATGATTTATTGTTGCAAATAAATTAAAATTTTAAATTTGCAAAAATTTTTTCGCTCTCTTTTCATATTTTCTACTGTTCATACGTCGGAATATTTTGCAGTAGAAATAATTCAAGTTTATTTTTTGCTTTTTTAAAAATTACAAAAAGTTTAATTTTGATATTAATTTGATGTCATTTCATTTCCTCTCTCTCTCTCCCTCTCTCTCTCTCTCTCTCTCTTCCTCATTCTCTCTTTTTTTTCTTTTCAATTTCCTCATATACTTCCTCTTCTTTGCTTTTTTTTTCTCTCTCTCTTTTAAATTTCAAAAAACGAAATATTTTTTTATCTGTCAAAATTTCTTTCATTATTTGTTTGAAATGATGAGAGTGGACGAGAGAGAGAGAGAGAGAGAGAGAGAGAGGAAAAGGATAAGAAATGGGATGAGAATGAAGTTTGATGGCTACTTACCGATCATATCCGTTTCTAACCTGTTTTCATTTCAGTTTAATTACATTTTTGAATGAAATTAATTAAACACGAAATTAATTAACTGATAACTTCAACAAATCCATTATTCAAACTATATTATTATTGATAAAAAGGATTTTGCCCGAAAAAATTTTAATCAAATGAATTAATAAATATCAGATGAATTTTAAAAAAAAGGATGGATAAATTTATTTTTGCAATAAATGAAAATGATAATAATTGAATGAATGATTATCAGGAATATATATATGTTATGATAAGAAATGATATTATCAGTGATACTAGTACCGTATATGTTATGATAATGTAGTACTATATGTGTTATAATAATGAATGATTATCACAAATGTATATGTTATGATAAGAAGTGATACTGTCACTGATACTAGTACATATGTAAGATGATAAAATATAATTATCAATGATATTTTATTTGTGCAATTTAAAAAAAAGAAGAATGGCAAAAATTAACTAATTCAAGGAATATTATAATTGTCTTATTAAACATAGAGGTAAAGAGAGAAAGAGAAAGAGAAAGAGAAAGAGAGAGAGAGAGAGAATTAGATTTAAAGGATATTTATTAACAAAACAAATTAACAAAAAACACACTTCAATTTATTTTGTTATTTAAAAATATCTGAAAAAAATGAAGAAATATTTTTTAGTTGAAATTAAAAAAGATAATTAATATTTTATGTAATTAATATGAATAATAGTAAAACGATAACAGCGCATGGAAAATCAGTACGTGAAAGTTTTCTGATTAAGGGCTATGCGCTGAATTGTACTGTTGCAAGTCAAGGTAATTTTTATATTGAGATTTACGATCGCAGTAGTACACTACTTCTCCTCCTT